AGGGACAGGAACATTCATATCCCAGCATGATGTCCAATCGTCCCAAGCTGATAATAAGTTAGTGACGCAGGATCTTCCTTTCCTGAAACCGTGTTGGGCTTCATGGAGTATTTTAGACCTATCCAGATATTCCCTGATGTGATCATCAATAATACTTTCCAGTACTTTCGATACCACTGGGAGTAGAGCTACTGGTCTATAACTGGTGGGATTTTGCCTATCCCCACCCTTGAAGATCGGAGAAAGGATGCTTCTTTTCCATTCCTTTGGCAGTTTCCCCGATTCCATGGAGTGTTGGAACAAGTCGCATAAAGGCCTACAGAGAGCTTCGGCGCACTGTTTCAGAACAGATGGCCTGATGTCATCACAACCTGGGGACTTCCCAGGTATAAGTCGCTGCAGCTTTCTCAGTACTATTGCAGGGTTTATTTGAGGGGTGGCTATTTGGTCTTCCTCCTGTGAAATAGTCATGCCACCATTTTGGTTCGTAACGGTAATACCCACATTGCTGTTTAGCTGTTTGGCGAAGGCTAAACTGAATGTTTCAGCCATCTCCAGACTAGTGAGATATTGACCGTTTTGGCTTACTAAGGCGCAAGCCCCTTGATTGGTTGGTTTCCTTTCCGACATGAATCGGTACAAATTCTTCGGGTTTGCCAGGAGTTTTTTAGCAAGGTTAGCCTGAAATGACCTTCTGTCCCTCCTGACTCTTGCATTGCACCGGTTCCTGAGTTCCAGGTATGCATCATGGTCGATCTGGCTTCCAGATACGCGCCACGTAAACCAAGCCTTCCTCTTTGCTTGCAGAATACGCTGCGTGCCTCTCTTTAACCATGATGATTTTCTTTTTGGCTGTGCTGTGACTAAAGGGACGGTATCCGAGATCGCTGTATGAATAATCTTTTTTACCGCTTCCCAGTGTTCATCCACAGACAGCTCATCCCATGCTAAGGGCCAGTCTGCATCGAACAAGAGCCTCCGCATTTCAGCGTAGTCAGCCTTGCTGTAACACAGACATGGTTGCGTAGCGTCCCACTGCAAGTGCTCACGGAGAACGAGGTCGAAACCTATGACTGCATGGTCACTACTTCCTAGAGGAGTCATGACCTGGACCTTTTCGACGAGTAGTTGGTCACTAGTTAGAATGTAGTCTAGTTTTGATGACTTTCCACTAGGGCCCCACCTAGTGTCGTCTCCAACATTCTCAGTCAGTCCCGTGTCCCGAATAGCTTGCAGTAGATTTCGGCCGAATTTTCCCTTAGCATACCCCGAGCCAAGGTTCAGTGATGGGGCATTGAAATCTCCAGCAATGGTGATTTGGTCATAGCCCAAGTCTCGTATCCCTGTGATAGTGCTGAGCAGTAGCTGATTGTGCTCTGCCCCACAGGTGGGAGATCGGTAGATGCCACCAAGTAAATGCTTGGTGTGGCCTACGGTGAAATGACACCATATGGAGTCTGCGAGTGTGTCCACATTTCCAGGTAGATTTATATTTTTCTTCCAGATTATTTCTAGCCTTTCTTGTTCGCATTTTTACATTAAATTTCGCAGGATAACATCAAATGAAAGCGTATTTGAGGACAGATTCTATTAACAACTAACATCATTTAGTGAATCATGGGAAACTTGGAGGCACTGGGCAGCTGTTTCATCCTAATTTGTTGCTCTTTCTCAGTGCGCATGGATGACTCCACCAGAGACTTCACCCGTGACCATCAGGTTGCGAGGCCAGTTTTGTTGAACATTCAACCATGGTATTGAATATCAATGACCTGTAAATTCCAACTTCTGTCTCTTCATAACGTAGAATTGCCATTCTTGAGCATCTGCTTCACATTGACAAGGTGGATCCTACCGACTATGACTTCACTTTAAAATTTCAGACACCTATCCATCCATCCCAAATGATAATATGAGAAAGTCTAAGTGTAAACTGATCCGAATTCCTCAAAATACCTAATGCCTATGAGTGAGCTATTTTTATTTTCAGAATTTCAACATGAGCTGACATCAGTTAGAGAATTATTGGAAACCAATACTGGAGAACTGGACAGTTGTTTCATCATAGCTTGGAACTTTTTAGCAATACCCACCCACCCCACAGCCATGGTTTGAACACACAGCCCTCCGGTTAGGAGGCGAGTGAGCTCGTAGACCATTAATCCGCTGGGACCCACCAACACAATAGCCACTCCTTTAATTCCAACTTCTCCCAATTCACCATATGTCTTGACTATTAACCAGTGTCATCACTGACGAGTATCTGTCCCAACTGGTCACAACTTGCCACTAGAACCCAGGTGACTACCTATTTGAATAGGGCTAGTCAGTAGTGAGCATGGGATTGATATTCAAGTGTTAGTTTGAAGGGATTTGATTTGGCTTCAGGATTTCATCATCCTGACAGCCACTGTCTTAATCTTGAGAACTGACACAGGAAATTTAAAAACATAGATATATAGAAAATCAACGCACACATGCCACGTGCCCACAAAAGAAACTGTGCACAGACATTGTTTAAAAGAGTTCAAACACAACGCCATGGTACTACTCCTGTGTTGAAGAAAATGGAGGAGGAATGTATGCTAACCGTCTTCGAAAGGAATGCATATCCTCGAAGATTCACCAAAAAATTTTTAAGCTCGAGTCATAACACCTACAAGAGAGCATCATCAACGACCACAAGAAAATTTCATTCCACCATGTATAAAAAATATATCTGAAATAACAGCTAGAATATTGAAACCATTTGAAATAGAAATGGCACACAAGCCAGCTAGCCAGCCATCAAAATCGCTTCATTCGATATTATGCAAACTGAAACATCAAACAGGAAAGGAAGACAAGATTAATACCACTTACAAAATAAAGTGCATGCATGAAATGCAACCAAGAATATATATATTAGCCGTAAAAAGACATGACATATATTCTTTCATATCAATGCATGTGGATAATTATGGATACAGACTAGATGATTAGGATAATGTTGACATTTTAAATATAGGAAACACCACAAGTGTCGGAGAACTTCTAGAAGCCTGGTACTGAAGTGAATCAGCCAGCAATTAAAAAACGCACCAATTAATATGAACCAGATTTTCCAGCTAATGAAAAGTAAATCACACGAGAATAAAGTTCAAATTCCAATAGAGATATGAATCAACAACCAGTCACCCACGATAATAGTTGTCAGTGAGTAGATACAATTATATCATCGTTCATGGGGAATTCAAACGAGTTCCTTTCATACTAAAACCTGCTCCGAAGCGCTGTTATCTGGAAGGGTGGGGGATTACTAAAGCTTCGTAATTAAATCGACCAGCTCTGAGAATGCTACTAAGTCAAAATATGTAACATTACAAACTCTGTGGCTTTCTCAGTCATTTCGTCAAAAGAAAATCGATTACTTCAATCGATTTATGTGGTTAAAGAAGTCAAAATTTCACCTCGGTGTAATAAGGTTCAGCCTTATTTCATTTAAATGTAATATACCAAATTATTTTTTTCTTTATATAAGGGATATTTTAGAAATCTAAAGATGACGAATATGCAGCATGCGCTTTTATGATAATGCAAGTACATATTCTTCAATCCCTAATCTCTTTGTCCATCATAGATAAGATAACTGTTTGGAAGGCAAATCAAAACAACGAATTGATTGCCTAAAGTACGAATCACACTTCAGAATCACCAACGTTCCAAGACTATCCTGAATAGCTATCCACCGCCATACAAGCGCGATTTGTCCTCAACGCTTCCTAGTGCGGCTGCCTTCTCAAAAATCGACTTGGTTATAGCGTACAATCAAGCCCCTAGGGTAACAGAATGCATTCCGGAAACAGAGACCACCATATCTTTCGGATTATTGGAATTCTGGCTGATGTCATTCGATCTCCGTGGCTGGACTTATCCGGCATGTTGGTTGAAATTTCGCTCGGCAAATTTGTTTTGTCAATAGTTTTTAATAAAATTTTGTTGTATGTTTTCTGGATTGATAGGAATTCTCATTTCCTGGCTAGTTATGTTGGTGTCTGCGTCATTTAATCTGACTGCGACACACTTAGCATATTGGTTGTAATGATTAGTGTTGCATGCTGAGTGCGTCAAAACATCTCTACAATGAAGAAGATGAGGTAGTTGGTGGGTAATGTCATCTACACAAATAGTTTATTTCTTGTAGAAGCTGCAGCTTTCGACATAGTGTCATTCAATGAAGACTACGTCAAAATGTGGCTATTTTCGTGTGAAGAACAGTACTATTTTACAAAAGAATGCTATCAGTACATGGGAATCACCTATACATGCCAACAGAACATAAAACCAATGTGTAAACGAACGGCTATGGAACTGCAATCCAACATAACCGACTAACATGGACGAAAATGACCTTTGAGCGTCTCACTCCATCAATGACCTTGAGCATGAGGGATAATTTCAGCCAATCTTCGTAATGCGGCATAAGCATTCCTAATCCTTACAGACCAAATATTCTGAAAATTTAACTTCGTACAGACGAACCTAGATAAGCAAGCTCACTTCCAGAATTTTTGACTTGGTCTCCAGCAGGTAACTTCCCCGCCACACACACGCATGCACCGACCACCAGCACCTTTTCCATCAAGCCTAACAGTCGCTATCACTGATCAAAGTTATAGTGCCCACCTAGTAACATTCAATTAAAGTAGCTTATGATAGTCAGTCGCATAGGGAAAACACGACCATTTAAAGCAATTTAATAGCATAACAGATTTGAAGATATCCCACTCAGTCCAATAATAAAAATGACTGCCAGACTGTTCGTAAAGTAGCAGTCATTATATAATAACTGACCACGTGCTACAGTCCCTTCCTGCCAGTTAGACAATATAATATTACCCCAACCTAAAATTTAATCAAATATCATAGTCCAAAATTGTTCTTGAGGGTTCAAACCTTTTATCCTCGACCAAAATATCTGAAACATTGGAAACTGTACAGTCGAAGGCCATACCAGGCGCCTAGTTTCAAGGCGTGACCTTGACCACAAAAGGTATGCTTCTGTTTCATGTACCTGAAAGGGTGATACGGCATTATATAAGTTAGAATATCTGTGAGACTGTTATGCATCATATGTGTTCATAGTGTCTCTAAACTATAGCACCTCAAAACGAAACTACCTAATGGACGGATTAATGACCTAGATGAAATTATATACTGAAATTTGTGTAACCTGACTATGGGGACTTATGTGAAATTAGGAAGTTTTATTGGGCTGCTATAGTTTAGAGTCACCGTGTTCATTTCATGGAACTGAGGGAATAATGCCACCTTTCTGGAACTTCGGGTTTACACATGAAAGTATTTGATGTACGAAAAAATGTAAATAACGTGTTTCTTGCGTTAATTGCTAATTTCGAGTAGTATTATACAGCACTCTCGGTCGTATATGATCGAGAAATCGCTTTTACCTCCTTGATATTGACTCGTTAACGAGTGCACTAATTAGTGCACTTAAAAAAATATGGGTCAGTCTTCGGGCAAGCTGCAGACAATTTCGAAGCTGTCTATTCATATTTCAGTGATTTATGTACGACATGGTTACCGTTTTAGCCTTTGACAACCAAAAAGAGTCAAGTGGTTCAGTGTACTGCAGAGTCCTCCGAAGTAGGGAATTGACTTTTCTGCAATAGACCAGCTATTACTAGCTTGCCCAAGTAAAAAATAATTAGGGGCGATTTTGGCTTCTTTTGGGGCTACTCAATGGAAAAATGTAACACTTTCCGGACCTCCCCCCTCCAAGGAAGCCCTCAAAATTTCCCCCAAAATCCCCTACACCCCAAATTTTTTATATGGGAGAGGGTGGTTAGTGGTTGAGATAATTCCTGTTTTCCCCACACAAAATTTTAAAAGTCATCCTCATCTTTTAAGTTCCAGTAAATATGTTAAAGTTTATGCATGTATTAACATACTTTCTAACCTGAGATTACCAACATGGTGTATTCACTTGGTTACTGCAAATGTACTAATTCGGTCTTGTTTTTCGTCTGTTTTCATTAATGCAAATAATTAAATGTTATGTAACCACAAACAAACCACTGCTATTCAGATGAGTCAACTTGTGTTATTACTGGTTTATATGTTTCTAATGTGCGTCGTAGTCGTGAGGTACGTCGTGACCCTGTTGAGAACTTTAGGTCTACTTCTATTCTTCATAGGGCTAAATTTTTATCGCAATTCACCAATCTCTAGCTGAATGTGGGTCTATATTTGTTTCTTCTCAGGCCGACAAAAATGTAGTCAATTGCTTCCTAAATCATTATTAAACTTGTGTTGGCGTGGTGGTTTTTATATGGGAATTCAGATTCAAATTTATTGGTTGGGGATAGAAGGCTTGGAGCCTATGTTAATCCTTTTCTAGTAGATTTCTGTGCTTGTGCAAACCCTTCTTGAATGAATCAGTCGAGGTTGCAGACACCATTTCTTCTGGGAGTCGTTTCCAAGAGTTTATGACTCGGTGTGAGAACCAATACTCCACAGCAGTATCGTTTCTTCTTGGCTTTTGAACTCTCCTGCTATGTCCACTAAGGTATTCCGACCACATATTGGGAAGAAAAACAGAGAATGGGTCAGGTCCGTAGTCATTATTTAAGATTTTAAACATCGTAATTAAATCTCCTCTCTGCCTACGGTGTGACAAGGAGAAGAGATTTAAACTGTCTAGTCTTTCTTCTTATGGTAAATTAGTCATGTGGAGAATCATACGTGTTGCCTTCCTTTGGACCCTTTCTAGAATATGTGAGTCCCCTTTAAGACAGGGACCGGCTGCCTGGATACAGTTTTCCAGTCTTGACCTCACTAAAGATGTATATAGGGAGGTAGACATATCTCAGGAATGGTTGCAGATTGATTCTTTGTGCATTAAATCAGTAAATCACATCGTTTAGTGAGAAGGTTGTGGTGTGGTGTTAATAACTATAAGATGACGTCAACTATTGTTTAGAAAAATTGGTGTGCTCACAATAAATAATATAATTTGGATGACTTTAATGGTGATAAGGGTTCAGAAGTGATTTTGAGAAAAATTTGCTGACTTATGACTGAACATTTAACAGAAATATTTAGTTGTGATGGAGAAACTAGTGAAAAAAATTAAGAAAATAAGTGTATAAATTTATACTTCCGAGGTCTCAAAACTTATCTTTTGTAATTTTTCCGGTTTTATTGTATGAATATGTAAGTTATGAAGCAGTCGTCATTGATTTAAACTTTAAGAAGTGTGTACACTTCATCCAACAGTTGTACGATGATGCTGCATGCCAAGTAATCCACAACGGAAAACTCACGGAATGCTTCGAAGAGGTGAAGACGGGACTAACACAAGGCTGTCTGTCTGCCTACGATCTCCAATGATTTTCTTGATTGCGGTAGACTGGATAATGCGACAGACAGACAGCGGGCAAGGAGGAGACAGGCATAAAGTGGATTCACACAAAAAACTTGAAGGATCTGGACTTCGTTGATGATACGTGTCTGATTTCCCACAAACTGGAAGATATGCAAGTGGAAAGCAACAAGTTGGCAGAAGAAGCATCTACAGAGAGAGGACTTCAGGTGAACATGGAGAAAACAGAGGTGATGAAGATTCCTGGCTAACAGCAACAACAACAGGCAACAATCAGCATAAATAGGAGAAATCTGAAAGAAGCAACTTCCTTCACCTACCTACCTGGGAAGCATCGTTTCGACTACAGGCGGACAGAACTGACGAGGATATCAAGGCGCGGATCCGGAAAGCAAGGCAAGCTTCCATTACTCTCAAATCTATGTGGAGATCAACAGCACTCAGCATGGAAATGAAAATAAGATCCGGATTTTCAACTCCAATGTGAAGTCAGTGCTACTTACTATACAGATCAGAGACTTGGCGCGTCACGAAGGGCACTTCGAACAAACTACAGACCATCAACAGCTGTCTTCGCTCAATACTCAAGATCCTATGGTCAGAAAAAATTAGCGACAGTGATCTCTGGGAACGAACCATCCCAGCAGGAATCGATTGTGCAACAAATATGCAGGAAGAAATGGAGGTGGACTGACCATACTCTGAGAAAACTACCAAGTGAGTGACATCACACGCCAGGTCATTGCTCGAGTGGAACCCGAACGGGAAGCGGCGAGTTGGTCATCAGTACGAGGGTGACTTGGAGGTGGTCATGTGAAGAGGAGATGAAAACGTGTGGGCAGACTTGGAGCCAGGTGAAGACTCTAGCAGAGTACCGACCGCAATGGAGACGTGCGGCTGAAGCCCTATGTTCCTCTAGGAACTAAAGGAAACAACGATAATAATAATAATAATAACACTAACGTCAGGAGGAACTGTATTCTAAATTCTCTTCAACTCTATTCAGTGCAATCGCTGACTTAACTTAACTACGGGTTACAGACTGTCTGTTTCTTTTCCTAACATTGGTGTCGTATAGAATATATATATATATATATATATATATATATATATATATATATGGCACTCTACGCAGGGTTCACAGTTAAAGCTAGTGATTAGATATATTTCATTTAATTATTTTACATTATTTTACCAATCAAATTAAAAAATTTGTACCATAAATTTTTACATTTCAGCTTATTATTATTTAGTTAGTTGGCTGTCACGCACAAAACTGTTAACAGTTTAAAATGAATAATCTAGGCTGTAGAGGTTTGCTTCAACTACACCTTATAAAAGCGCTAGCCAGTAGTAGCAATCAGCCACCAATGAGAAGTCTACTTGCTGCTGCTAATAACCGTAATTTTTTGAGTACCTACTTTCGTCAGACACAAAAAACGCCTGGTGAAAATACACTGCCTGATGGACAACTACGATATTCAACAAATAAAAAATGGCACGCGATAATGAATTTTGTTAACAAGCCAAAAGATACACCACAATATCAATATCAAATTGTTATAGTGTGTACTCTAATCACTGCAATCTATTTTGGATTCTTTCGAGGCAGATCTGAACTTGATGACGTGTTGGATCAGAATTATGAAAATTTTCACAAACAAAGATTGAGACAGAATTGATCTGTAAATACTGTGTAGCATTTGCATAGCTTTTAAACCTTTCTCTACTATTATTTCTACATTTCCTTGATCTTGGTCATTTTTTCGAAATACAACGTACAACTTTTATTTATTTATTTTTTCATGTGTTATTCCGAACTAATGCTGGTGTTAAGGATGGTTAGAACAAGAGATATAAGTGAACAATATTGTTGTTTTCAATTAGATCTTCTTCAGGCTTTACTCTAATTCTCATAGATTTATATATATACGAGGTAATTTAACCAATGAGGGTGAGTTTGCGGATCAAATAATAATAATAATAATGTGGTAAATGTTTTGAACGTCAGTAATAACGATTATTATAATGATAATAAGGTTTATGCAGGTGGCGACAAGAATAACGGAGGTAGTAATTTGTGTATATGTAGACAATTCATAAATAAATAAATTAGGTCATATCTCAAAAGTTACGTAACACTAAAGATGAAGTAGACAGATAATCAAAGTTTAAATAAATATCATAAAAGTACGAAGGAAATGGAAAATAAGAAAGAGTGGGAGGGTTTCATTAAAATTTACCTAAGCCAAGGGAAAGACATAAGCAGAACAAACTTCTTTTGTGTGGAAAGACACTAGGATTGTTTCCTCAAATTCTGTTCGAAAGGCTCGATATAATGTGATAACTTCGAAGGTACTATTTCTGTCCACTTGGTGACTGTTATCATCAATCAAATGAGTTAAAATATAACTTTCTCTAGGTTTTATTTAACCTTTTCCTAACAATGAAGGAAGATACTCATTAGTGTGTTTGTTAAGCTGTCTAGTTGTTCGCCCTATATAGCTCTCTCCACAGGAGCAACTAAATTTGTAGATACACACAGAAGTGGCACAACTAGCTAGGTAGTTTGTTTTTCACTTGAGCAATCATAATCGGTCGACAGCTGGAAAATGACAAACAAAGGGTGGTGGTGGCTGTATAAGTCCGTTTTACTGCTCTCGATAATCTCAGATGTAAGACTTCGCTAGCCATGTCACCATTAAATTGAAGTTTCATGAACAATTCTTTCTTTTTAACTGTTGTCAGTTTTTCTTTGTTGTGCCTGATATTCATGTGTCTCCTAACAAATCTACTAGGATAACCCATTTGGACCAGCGTATTTTGGATGTATCCTAACTCATTTTCTAGGAAGTCATCTGTACAGATCCTTTCTTGCTCTATTCGTGAGGCATCTGACCAAATTTATTTTGTATCGGATTGATACAAAACTGAGGAAATTTGTATATTGTCCTACATACGTAGGTTTTCTATAAACATCTCTTTTAAGTGAATCATCCTCTCTTCTGCTCAACTGGACACCAAGGAAGTGTAGTCTACCATTATGTTCTTCACAAGTGAAGATGAACAATGGATAGTTATCAAAGCTGTACAGCTTGAGATAGTGGGCATTTTTATATTCCTGGCATTATTCGTAAATTTTGAAGCTGTCACATGAACACTGCAGATGCTAGATGTAAAGTCGTGATAAAGGAAAGCAAGTTATTTAACGATAAGGTTATATATCTGCATTCGGTAAGGTTTCTTAGTTGTGTATTATGTATTCACAACTATTATCTCACTCAGCTTATCACGTTTGCTGGAATAAAAGTGGGTTGGAAGAAAGAGAACCAGTTATCATTTTAGTGGAGATAACACTGCCTCATAAGATCACTGGCAGTCAGCAGTTAAAGCTGTGTGGGGAAATGAGACCTGTGGGTTCATCGTTTCAGGGGTAATTGAAATACCTATTTGCAGAGAGAATAAATAATATGGGCCGACGCCGATCTCACTAGATGGTACAAATGCAGAAGAACATTATAAAAGACCTTAAGTGACAACTTTCGAGTCCCAACCGATAGAATCCATAGTGAGGATTGGACACTACAACTGTGATTAGACATCCATTTGATGAGGACCCTGTGCCAGTTTTTAACTTAAAGAGGTGTCAACCTCCCAAATTGAATTCAAACGTCTATTACTGTTATCGAAGTTCGATAAAGTAATTTGCATGTTTCTTCTGCTTTATGGATACAAAAGAGCCTAAATAATGAGCTGAGACTAATTCAAAAAATCACCAGACATTTAGTAGTACATTAGCGACATCACTCGTTCTAGAACCTGACATCACTTTGGTAGAAAAAGGATGCTTCTGACCAGGTGGAAACGGTAGAAAAAAGGCCCAGCGTTTAAAAATCGATTCTTTTCAATTTATGAGTGTACAAAAGACATTTTCCAAATTACCGACTACAATGAAATATGAAGGCAGTTTAAGCGTAAACCAGGTGAAGTTTTCGTAAACAGCGAAAGCCAGAGGTGAGGAATACAGTAGAGATCATAATAACTGTTCACATTGATCAAGTTCAAGTAGCACACAAAGCAAGAGAAGAAATGCATAATAGAGACAGTAAACAGAGGTGTGAGACAAAGGAATAGTAATAACGAAGAACTATATAGTTTCATTTGAAATCATAAGTCACAAGGGGTGGATGCGTCTGCACCAGCCATTGAGAACGATTTTGAGCCATGTCACCAATTGTTTCCAACCATTGGTTTTTACCGTCCCGAGGACCCCAACCAGGAAGTCTACATCTCCTTACGTGACTTAGACTAACTATTGTGGATTTCATTGACTGGTGCCAAGTTTTCGTTTGACCGCCGCTAGCTCTTTTCCAGCCTGGCCCTATATCAGCAAACATTGCCCGTCAAGGGAGGCGATGACTAGGCATACGTAACACATGTCCTAACCATCTCAGTCGATGTAACTTCACAGCCTCGTCGATTGATTTCCTCTCCTTACCTAGCATGGGAATAATAGCTCATCTGCAAGAAAGGCGACTGTATCTACAGGAAAAGTTTGCTTTGTTTTCAACCACTCTGCAAATTCAGTCTGATAATGGCATAAAAGCATCTTAAGTTTTCATAGTTTAAGAAAGCCGTAAGTAACATCAAACATGGAAAGAAGGCAGTGGGCTTTATGGGCTAATTCCAGAGGTATTTATTTTCGGTAGACCAGGATATGTAGCAAAACATGACTCTCTCTCTATCTCTGACTGGTATCAACCATTGAATTGACCAAGTCCTTCTTCTAGGTGAAGACGCTGACAAAATAGAGCAAAGTCTTCTGAACACCTTCAGCTGCAATCTGCGGATATTTGGCTTGCGATTCACTCCCGTCAAGTATGAGGTGATGCTACATTGACTCCTAGATTAGAAATAGGGAGTGAAGTGGTAGAACTCATTGACCATTTCAGCCAACGCGAGCAGGTTGATCTTATCGCTGACGAAATCTCAGTACAGATACAGAAGGCTCGTTTCGCATATACCAGTTTACGCTGTCTATGGCGTAGCCGAGATACCTCGATATCGACCAAAGGGCGTGTGTACTATTCAGCAGTTCCCTCCGTCCTTTTTTATGGCTGTGAGACCTGGCCATTGAAAATGGAAGACATGAAAATCTCTGGTCGTAGGTGTCTGCGTTCTATCGCCCGTGTGAAGGGGTATAGTAGGGTGAGCAAAATAGAGGTTGGGTCTCGGTCGAGTGGTAGGAGAGTTGGAGGGAAAATCAATCGTCGAGGTTGTGAAGTTACGTGGATTGAGTGAGATGGTTAGGACATATGTTACGCATGTCTAGCCATCGATCGCCTTCCTCGACGGACAATGTTAGCTATCACAGAATGGATCAGGTTGGAGAAGAGCTAACATGTAGTGGTCAAACGGAAACGTGGCTTCATTAGTCAATGAAAAAAATCCACCACAGTTAGTTTAAGCCACGTAAGAAGGTGTAGACTTCCTGATTGTGGTCGTCGGGACTGTAAGAACCAGTGATAGGTGGAGACAATCGGTGGTATAGATCAAAATCGTTCTCAATAACACAGATGCATCCGCTCCTTGCGATTTATAATATCCAATAAAACTATATAGTTCTTCGATATTACTATTCTTTTTGCCCCATATCTCTGTTTTGAATCTCTTTTTATTTTCTTCTCTTGCTTTGTGTGCTAAGTGAAGTGTGGCACCTCGAACTGCTGCACATCTATGCAAAGTTTTTTACGCTGAAACCAGTCAGTCCAAGTCTTCAAGCGAGAAGGAAAATCCTCTTGTGATAACCAGAATCTCATAATATAGAACAGCAAGTCCTAGAAGACCAGACTGTTTTTAAACGTTTGCTTACATCAATCCCCGGCATAAAAGCGTAAACACAGCCATCTGACAGTTGTCATACTTTTGAGTCTAAGAGTAATGTTTAACTCTATGCTGATTGAAATGTTTTATATCTTCTGCTGGCAAGCACGTCTGTTTAAGGCTCTCTATACTCGAGGATGGATTACACAGTCTCGACTAGTCTAAGCCAAAATTGGCCCCTTTGACCATCAGTACGTACCCTCCACATTGGGGCTCGAACCCAGAACCTTCCGGTTACAAGTCGAGCTCGTAGACCATTAAGCCATTGGAACCTGCCTATCCAATGATCAGTCCATGAATTCCAACTTCTGCCAATTCACGAAATGGCGCGACTACTAGTGAATGTCATCGGCGAGTATTTGTCCCCACACCCGACCCGGTCTACGCCACTGGTCACAACTTCAGACCGGGTTTGAGAACAAATACTCGCCTATAACATTCGCTATACATATATAGTACGTGAATTGGCAGAAGTTGGAATTCAAGGGCTGGCCATTGGACTGGTGGGTTTCAGTGGGTTAATGGTCTACAAGCTAACTTGCCTTGTAACCGGAAAGCCCTGGGTTCGAACCCTGTCAATAGGGTAGGTGCGTACTGGTGAAGGGTCCCACACTAGGCTGACGAAACAACTAGCTATCCGGTACTTCAGTGTTGGTTTCCAATGGTTGTCTAACCGATGTCAGTCCATGATGAAATCCTAAAAGATATACCTTATTGGCTGGAGTATTTAATTTTCAACCAATGGGTCCTAACTATTGTATTTTACTCCATGTATTTCAGCCTTAAACAAGTGGACAATAAAATCAGTCCTCACACAACAAGTGTAGCCAATAGGCCGGTACATGATTCCTTAAAACTGTTCAATGTTTATTCACAAAGCTTTTCTTTATCACGTTGTACTACTCTGGCTAGCGAAATACACACGCTGATACTTCAATTTTGTCCATCGATAACAATATCTGTCTAAGCGCAGTACTGTTACTTGTAATATCCTAATTCCCAACCAATAGCTGCTGCCTTGACATGGTGGGCGGGCTCGCATATCGCAATGACCCAACAAGCTACACTGGCTGGAACTACTGTTCCTTCAGGTCTTACCATGCCAGGAAGGTTCTTAAAATAGCAATTAGACTAAAAGCAGTTACCGGAATAGTGTAACAATTTTTTTTACACTATGCTGGGGGACTGTGGGCAAAGTCGTTCCGCTGGGGAACAGGGATGTAACAGCAGTGAGGTGTTTCCCTCAGATGACCAGCATGCCAGCCCAGCTACGCTGTCTCTCCACTCTTCAGAGAGAGGGTTAGAAAAGGTCCACCCCAACAACTGTACATTGTTGACTTACCCTGGTCCGTAACCAGCGGTAACTTTACTAATACGGAACCAAACCAAGAAACCAGTTCATATAGGCCGTGTGTGCCAGCTGGCCTCAAGCAGTTAGCCCCGGGCTCTGTGGTCATGCAACACTAACCCCCTTTCTGTTTCAGGCGCCCGAAGACTCAATCAACTTCCACGGTGTGGGCAGCCAGGAAGTAACAACCGCCCACACACTTCCAAAAGTACACGGAGCCTTCTATCTCCCGTGTGAAATGGTATAACAGAGTGAGCAGTATTGAGGTTAGGCGTCGAATGCTAAGTAAAGAGGGGAAATCAATAGACGAGGCTGTGAAGTTACATCGATTGAGATGGTTAGGACATGTGTTACGCATGTCTAGCCTAGCCATCGGTCGCCCTCCTCGACAAGGGACAATGTTAGCTAACATATGATTGATCATGTTGGAGAAGAGCTACCACGTGGTGATCAAACCAAAACACGGCTTCATCAGTCGATGAAGTAAATCCACAACAGTTAGTTTAAGCCACGTAGGATGGTGTAGACTTCCTGGTTGGGGTCCTCGGGACGGTAAACACCAATGACGGTGGCTGAAGACAATCGGTGATATGGCTCAAAATCGTTCTCAGTGATGGCGCAGATGCATACACTCCTTGTGACTTATAATATCCAACGAAATTATATTGTTCTTGGTTATTACTATTCCTTTTGTCTCATATCCCTGTCAACTGTCTCTATTTTTCATTTCTTCTACTTTCTTCTCTTGCTTTGTATGCTGAGTGAAGTGTGGCGACTCGAAATGCTGCACATCGGTGCAAAATTCTATGTTGAAACCAGCCAGTCAGTCACATCCTAACTGGAAAAAACAGAACTTCAACGTCTACTTGACCAACTCTACTCCAGAAACCGACTGAAGAAAGAATTATGATAGGCCTCCAAGCCAGCAGTCTTCAGATTATAAAATGTTGGTTTCTGTCGGTGGTGACGCTGCATGGAATTCTAGTAGGAAGTTGGTGACCAGTGGGGTTCACCATGTCGGGTGTGAAGATGTACACACATCGATGGCATCATGTAATTACCGGTAGCTCTGTATATCAGAAATTAGAATGCATCGATTAGCCACTGAACGTCGTCCCAGTAACCGAATGGCCGCTTCGTAACCTGAAGATGGATACGTCAAGGGTGCATAACAATGAAGAGTCCCAAATAAGGACGAAACAGATATCTAGCAGTCCTCGGTTTTCAATGATTCCCTTAACTGAAGTCAGTTCGTGATCCATCTTAGAAATTCCAGCACCCTACCAAATATGAACCGCAATATATAAAGCATTACTTCCAAAAAAAACTTCTCAACCATTTTCTTATAATGGCCTTAAACTAAATCCTTGCAAATATCAGACTGTTAATTTCAGTCGCCGATGTAAAAGAAAGTTAAATGAAGCTGTTGTGGTTCTTATGACCCTTGCAAAATTGATGATATTAATGATATAGAAATCAAGTCTGAAGTTAAGTATCTAGGATTAATTCTTTCTACTGACCTATCCTGGTCTTCCCATATCTTAGCAATTTTTAAAAAAATATTTCGTCTGAATTTTTACATTAAGAAGTTAAGGCACTCAGGCATAACTCAATCCCTTCGCCTCCTCCTCTTACAGTTTGTCGACTCGTGCATCTTACCTATTCTTCTTTACTGTTCACCCTTATTCTTTCCCCTGGATTGCTTAAAAAAGACTATGTCATACTTCGTAGAACTCTGAAGACTAGCTGTCAGTAGGGCCAGTGGTATCCCATTGGTCCATATCGTTGACATTGTCACTGATAGGCACTTGATGTGATGCAACAAATTTGCTAAAGGAATTTTTTCAGACTGTGAGCACCCACTTTACTCGCAGATCCAACCTTGTGTCTCCTCAGGTAAAACAAGAAGTCTTTTCAGAAGACTTTATGCACGTACGTCTAAGTATAAAAATTCCACTATACCATATTTGGCGGCACGTACTTTATGTGATGAAAATAGTGTTAGGCATCAACTAACTAACTAACTAACCTTCTTTGCACTACTAAATAAACCATTTTCTCCACCCTTAAAGCATCAAACTTTATTGTTATTGTTCTTATATTTATAATCCTCTCAAATTTTGTTTTTATTTTTATTTATTTTCTCATAAGTGTGAATATGATATTCATTTAAGCTGTGTTATAACTGTTAATTTTGTATTTCCCCTCACCATACTATATCAACAGAACATTAGATTCAATACTCTATAACATGCTAAAATTTTCAAACTGAATCGACAATACTGCTTGAAACAAACTCACTATTATTATTATTTTATTATTATCATTATTATTATTATTTTATTATTATTACTATTATTACTATGATTATTTTGTTATTATTATTTTATTATTAATCTTATTATTATTATATTTAGTAATCTCAATTCATGCTTCGAATATTTTTGACTTTATATCGTAAACGTGGACAAATTCCTCTGGTTAATTGTTTTAATTTTCAATTTTATTTATATTTTGAGGAAATCAGATGCAATATTGTTACAAATGCTGAAAATTCCATTCTGTGTTATAAGTGCTGTCTGTTTCGGAATAAAGCAAATTTGGATAGCGTTATTAGAAGACGGAGATTATCTGAGGAAAAATATGATGTGATGTGATGTATTTGCGCTATACATTTCGAACAATCTGATCCTCCCACACATTTACTTGTCAAGGCGATATATATGAAAAATTTAATTAAACAAAGTGTGAGGGTGGGAGAGCATATCCCAAAATGGCTAGAAAAACAAATGAATTGTGAAAAACCAACAGATGTAGGTATCAGACTACCAACTACCATCTAAACTTCGTCTATAGCTAAACATCTAATCGAGATGAACTATAAGATTGATGTTAACTCAGCCTTTAAGGTCATCTATAAAGATGGTCAAGGGAGCTCATTGAAATACGCTGAGGCTATAGCCATTCATAAACTAACCACCCCCCCGTGTGTATTCAAAAACAGTTAATTATTACTCTTAACCCACCTACCTTGGTAATCCTTATTTGATTGGATTACCAAACACTGTGTTTATTATTCTCAAGTCTTTTTTTGTTGTCACTTTGTTTAATTTAACTTTTTCACATATATCGACTTGACAAGTAAATGTGTGAGAGGATCAGATTGTTCGAAATGTATAGCGAAAATACATCATCTCACATTTTTCAGATAATCTCCGTCTTCTAATAACGCTATCCAAATTTATAAAAGGTACTAATTGTTTTAAATGAAGCAGATTATTATTATATTTAACATATTAAATAAATCAGTATCATATCGAAAAATTATGTACAATTAGAAAATAAATACAGCATTTCACAGGTCGTAAAGTTGCCTAACATAATCACTACAATTTACGAAGAAATTTCTCGTTATTTTCACCTAAAACACGCAGTTTACCACAGACATTTGATGATTGCTTGTCACCATCAGCAGCGTACACACCAAGTCTGTTCAATAATCGAAGTGACAAATTCGGTATAACAGGTTGAAGGAGAAATCCGCATATTCTTAATGCTTCTGCAACAACTGATAAAATATACTGTCTTCGTAACGAGTCTTTTTCATGCCAAGGAGTATGTCGAGTGATGAATGCATTTGCCAGGCGGATAACACGTAATACCTCTTCAATAGCATTATGCGGCTGTAATTCATCCCACCAAAGTTTGTCAAAACGATGCGATAGACTTTCTAAGCTTGAGAATGAGATAATTTAAAAAAAAGAAAATGTTAGCAAGTTTATAAGAGGGACTAAATATATAAACATAAACAAAGTGTTCACATTCTATTGGATTATAGAAATTATTAAAAAGATGGTTAGTAGCGGCAGCGAAGAAGACAAAGTCACCGTCAACCAAGGAGGCTGTACATTCGTGTATTTATATATTACATGTGTCAAAAGTTCCAGAATTATTATCGTTCAGAGATCAGATTAATAAGACTACTAAGTGTAATAAACAGTGGCAATATTCTAGAAATATTTCGGGTCAAAGGTAAAGTTAAAAATTACAATGTTTAATAATCAGGAAGACTGGGTAGAAAAGACGTAGTAGGATTATAATTACTAGAAAATGAGTCAGTTTGTAAAATTACGGGTTAATATGATTGCGACGAAGACATTTCCAGAAGTGCTTGGGATATTCTTTCTTATCAATACAGCTCTTCAGAAAACTGATTCTTGTATTCGTTATGGAAAGTTTGACAGAAAACTTAAGAAACGTATCAAGTTCCTTCACTGTCACAGAGTTCTTGCTCTGCTTCAAATCACCGAAAATACCCATTGAGTCATGATGAAAATAAAAGACAAATTCAGCGAAGAAAATTTTCTTTATAGACGAAATCATCTTCAGAGGCTGTATGTACAGTCGTATTTATACTTACTAAAAATATATAGTGGTCTATTATTGAGTAATAGGGGGTGACATAATTGATATAATTACTCGAAATTGGCTTTAGAAGTGAAAGGTAAAAGTTGTAAATTACGTGGTACTCAACGGCACAAAGATATAAACTTGATAAGGATAAAACTGCCAATGAGTGAGAATAGAGGTAATTGAGTATCAATTTAACAACTGTGAAGAAGGTGTGAAATGTACAGAAGGAGCACATGAGAATGATAATAGTGAATTAATTACTAAAGCAAAAGCAAACTAAAGGTAAAAATAAAAAAATAAAAAAATTTTTTTACAGGGAACGACTAATGAAGAGGTGAAGACCAGGGTAGAATAAGAGACTGGACAAGCTTTTGCTATATACAGAGTTCAGGGTTGTATTGACGAATTGCCAATGCCTCCGCCATACACAAAAGCCAAAACCTGGCGCCCTTTGTACCATTTGGCCTCACCTCGTAAATGATTTTGAAAGACGACTCTGGTGGAGCTACGTGGCCTGAGTTCACCAAATGCTCGATAATTGAGCTAGTAATTGTGTTGCATTGTCCTTTTGCTAACCATGCCGGATAATGTTCAGAGATACGCTTGGAAAGTGCGCGCTTTGTGCGGCCAATATAACTATCTCCACACGAGCAGGTGAATTTATAAACACACATTGAGGTGGCCCAAAGCGGTAGTTTATTCTTCACACATCCATTGATCATTTGTTGGCTGTAGAAATTGATACGTAACTCAGCCATAAAGAAGGCTTTCCTCAGTGATCTGCATCAGTGATTCTTCAGGATCTCAGCTGCGGTATCACCTTTAAATTCAACACTCATAAATAGCAGTTTCTTCGGCACCGTCTGGATTCTTTCAGGCTTTTCCCTTAACTTCATGTTTTTCTCGGTAAATCTTGGAGGATATCCATTCTCTATGAGGACTTGTCTGAGTCGCCTCAGTTCCCCATCGATTGAATCACCGGAACATATCCTCCTTATTCTTGAGGATAAGGAGTGGATAAGATTTCTCTTTCTTCTCAAAGGGACCCAACTATGGAAATTTGTGTACTGACGAATCCATGTTACGGAATAAGGAAGTAGAATTAACGAAATGGGTAGGAGGTTCGAACACATAAAAATAAAAACAGTAACCAAATCTAATAATGCCGATAGGGATTTAAAAGGTAAATATAACAAATAAACCGGAAGGTTGGACAAGAAAGGTGGTAATAGGATAATCATTATTGGGTGAGACTGACTTTTCATAGTGGCCACGGTAGGCCACATTTGAAAAGTCCTTCAAAGCCATATATAAGATTCGATCCAACCTACCAAAGGGAGTGAATTCAAGACATCTAGGAATAGATGAGACAGGCATTGGCGATCCAAAAAGTCAAGCCTATTCTATGCGTATAAAAGAAATACGTCCAACCGTTGTCCCTACCGTGGCCACCATGAACAGTCAGTCTCACCAATAATGATTATCCTATTGACACCTTTCTTGTCCAACTTTCCGTTCATTTGTTATATTTACCTTTTCAATCCCTATCTGCATTATTAGATTTGGTTACTGTTTTTATCTTCATATGTCCGAACCTCCTACCCATTTTGTTAGTACTACATCCTTAACCCGTAATTATAATCCTACTTTGTCTTTTCTACCAATCTTCCTGATTATTACACATTGTAATTTTGGTTTAACTTGACCTTTGACCCGAAATATTTCTAGAATAGTACCTCACTACCTATCTTCTGTTTATTACGTTTAGTAATTTTATTAATCTGATCTCTGACGGGAAATAATTCTGGAACTTCCTCCCACACATTTACTACTATAAATACACGAATGTACAGCCTCCTTAGTTGACGGCGACTTCGTTGAAAAGAAAATTTTCTTCTTCTCTGCCACTAACTGTGATTTTAATAATTTCTATGTTTATATTCCAATAAGTGTTCAACAAAAATGATTCAATCTCAGGTGTTTGCAAAAAATTAAACGGAAATCTATGACACAGGCTTCATATTTGTTAGCGCACACTCTTCAGTGTACCTGGATTCGCAGAAATCACGAAGTTAAGAAGAGTTTCGTGGAAGTATCTCAGACTGTCGGGAGTGAGAAGACAGGAATACGCTGCACTGACCGGTATGAAGACTCCAGAAGATCTGGATTTCGCAGGTGACTCATATATTTAATGTCACACAAACTCGAAGACTTGCAGGAGAAAACCAACAAAACTGGTTGATGAAGCAGGCAGTGCAGCGAAGACAGGACTGACTCCGCGTGAACATAGAGAAGACGGAGGGGATGATGAAGATAACCAACCATCGAACAGCGACAACAACAACAACCAGCACCAATCATCATCAACGGGAGACATTTGACAGAGGTTAATTCCTGCTTTCACTTATCTGGCTAAGAAGCATTGTTTCAACTGTATGCACACGGAACGGATGAAGATGTCAAGACCAGCCAGTTAGAATTGGAAAGGCAAGATACGTCTTCATAAGTCTGAAACATTAGGTAAAACTATTAGGTCAGGGGTAGTCAGATTGTCGGGACATAAGAATTTAGCTAAGGTAAGAATGATTGACCTCGAGAAGATAAGTAATTTAGAAAAAAGCTCAGAACTACATTGCACTGCATGCAATAACATACAACCACGCAATAGGGTGGGACAGAGTCAAAATTCTAAAAGGTAATATAGGTAGGTGGAGACAGAGAGACGTTGATTACTGCATCCTGGTTCATCGAGTCTACACCTAACGCAGGTGATAGAAATGACTCAACGCAATTACCACAGATATGCATGGAAGATATTATTACCACCAGTCAGTCAAATCAGGGGAGGATAATAAATAATCTCAAAATTCTATTCCAATTCAAGCACATCACAACATTCTAACAAGTTACTTATTTTGGCTATAAAAACACTCGTCTTATTTCCCATCTGATTGTATTTGATTGATAACACTCATAGTATTATTTCTGAATGTACAATATCTTATATTGATTTTACTAAAATTTCTAATCATCAATTCCAATCATGTGTATAAATGAAGCAAGTTGCGTGAATGACTTGATATGATTATGAGTAGCAATAGTTTGTGTTCGAAACGTGGTCATCAGTTAATATTACTGTGTAACACTGCACTGTGTGATTTATCAAAATGAAATCTTATCTACAGTGCCCAAGTTTTATACATATATCAATAATCCCAAACCAGATTGGAAATCTTCTACACTCAGTCAGCATACAGAACAACATTCAGATTATATTCAACACAAATGTGAAGTCAGTCAGAAACTTCGCATGTCACGAAAAGGACTTCCACCAACCTGTTGCAGACATTTATCAACCGCTGCCACTTCCACTGACTTCTAATTGAGAATCGAATGGCTGGCAAAAAGAATTAGCAACAAGAAACTCTGACTGGGAACAAACTAACCGAGAACGTAAAGTTCAACAAATATGTAGGAGAAAATGGAGATGGATTAGGCACACACCACTGAGGAGACCGTCGAATAACATTGCGCGCCAGGCTCTTGACTGGAATCCGTATGGGAAACGACGAGTAGGTCGTCAGTGTGAAGGTGACATGGAGAAGATCGTCCGAGGAGGAGATGAGAGACTCTGGGTAATCGTGGGCCCGGTTAAAGAGGACAACAGGAAGTAGAACAAAGTGGAGATGTGTTGTTGAAGCCCACTTAGAAGCCAAGGGTGTTACATAGAATGCTGAAAACCCACCAACTACAATACGGAGTATAGAAAAAAATTATATATTATGACCAACCTGTTGAGGAAATCAGCATCCAATTCATCATGAGAGAAAATGTCGTCGACATCTTTACGGTTCAACTGGATAATAGACTGTTCAGGGTTAAGTGCTTCAGATGTAATACTACAAGAAAATAATGAGAAGAGAAAAAAGAAATTGTAATGGCTTTCGGAGATGGCATTATTAATATTATTATTTCCTTGTCACTAACTAGTTTTTTTTATTACAGCTTGATTCCACACCATATTTTTGGTACAGGTATGGAATTTTCAGCATGCGATATCGGTAGCCCAAATTGTGCAGGCCGACCATAGATATCAGGTGTGTATCGGCAGGGGATCGAACCCCTGACTATGCGCATGCATAGTATCCCATAAACCTTGAAAAATTTTAAACTTCAACGAATTTAGGTATATAACAATACCATGTTTTGTATATGAGCCTTAGGGTAATATTAAAAATCAACTTAATGACGCATCTATGTGACGTAATTTGCGACAGATAACGCTGGACATCTATTTACCATGCAGCCACTTAAGAATATGTTTCGCATCTCCGATCTGACCTGCAGAGATCAACTGGTCCTTCCCATCTACGTGTAACCACACATACACACGCACATATATAAATTGGTTAGCGCAGAGATAGCGTAAGTTGGCGTATACCAAAACAGATTTTTGTATCCATACTCAGATTTCGTTAGCAATCAGTCCGTTGGCCCTGGTTGATACTTTTTTATTCTTATATGTTCTCAGTGGAACATAGGGCTCCAGGCTAGGACTTTGACGTTTTGGTAGCAGTAATGGTGTTTATTTTTACGGGATGGGGTTGCTAGACTCATGCCCAACCTTTTCTCTTCACCAGTCTAACTACTGGCTGGCTTAGCGAGGTAAAGGAGTGCGTCGGCTGGGGATCGAACCCTGAACCACCTGCGTAGTTAGCGCTGGCTGACGCAATTTCCCAAATAAGTGAAATGGTCAACACGCTCCAACAACCACCTCACTCCTGACTATCTTCAAGCTAGGAGTGGGTCAATGTAGTCCAGTCTAGTTCTGTAGCATAACATCCCCTTACATTTGACAGAAGGAGCGAATCGCATGCCAAACATTCGAATATTGCAGCTCAAGGTGTTCAGAGACTCCGCTCTATTTTGTCAGAGTATTCACCTAGAAAGACTACATCATACGCAAATTCGAAGTCAACGAGACTACTATACCCTGGTGGTAACAAGTCACTCCCTGAGTCGCTGAAGTCAGTTAGGGTTAATTCCATTAGCACATGTATCCAGGATGAAATTAAAGAGAAATGGGGAGAGTGGACACCAATCCTGACAGACACCACTGGTTGTCGCCACTTCAGATGACAACTCTCTATAGGTTTTCACCTATCTGACTGCATGACTTCGAGTAGAATGCCTTGATCAGTGAGTGGGTGATGCAACTTTTCGGCATTCCCTTCGCAAAGCTGAAACAAATAGTTCATCCCTCTTTTGTTGTTGTATTTTGTTTTTTTACAACCCTCCAGATGATTGTAGTCATATTCAGTATGTACATAATACAAAGATAAAGCCATATAGAGCAAAATATGTCTACGTTTTCTGCACGATATTCAGACATGTCCACAAGAGCCTCCAATAATTGACTTTTAGCATACTTCGGCACCACAGTTAAACACAACTGACACTTCCATACTTAACTAAGATTAGAAGTCAATGACCTCATGATTTGTCTTGAAATATGTTTAGTAGCCTGGGGTTTAAATGAAGCAAGAATAACAGTAGTTTGTGCAGAATAATATGGTACCACCGTTGTTTATTTCGTTGGCTTCTCATCAACTGCTTACAGCCTAAGTAAATTACTAAGTTAAGTTTATGTGCAGAAAAGTATTAACACACTTGCAAATTTTACATGATATCAGTTGACAGAAGGTTCTAAACTTAATGAACAGTGCTCGGAAAATTGCACCTATATAGTTTTTAGGATTTCATTATCAGCAGCACTCTAGTACTGGATAGCCAACTGTTTCGTCACCCTAGTATGGGACTCTTCATCAGTAGGCACCCAAACCACTGAGGTCCAAACCCAACACCTTCTGGTTACAGGGTGAGACAGCTCATAGACCATTAATCCACTGGGACCTGATCCAGTAACCAGCCCATGAATTCCAACTTCTGCCAATTCAGAATATATGGCGTGACCACTAGTGAATGTGATCGTCGAGAAGTGGTCCTCACACTGGTGACTGGCCTTGTTCAGGTATGTAGTTACTCGGGTTCTAATGGGAAGTCATGACCAACCAGTGGGGTCGGATATGAGGACAAATACTCGGCAGCGATAATATTGGCTAGAGCCAGTCACGCTATGTCGTAAACTGGCAGAAGTTGGAATTCCAGGGCTGGTTACTGGATCACGTCCTGGGTTCGAAGCTTGACAGTGGGTGCGTACTTCCGAAGAGTCCCACACTAGGTTGACGAAACAGTTGGCTATCCAATACTCCAGTGCTGGATTCCAATGGTTCTCTAACCGATGTCAGTCCATGATGAAATCCTTAAACCACCGATCAAATCCATGCAAACCAACACTTGATTACATAGTTTTTACACACAGGGAGTTCAAGTTTAAACAAAGTAAATGTATGCATACAATGGCAAAGGAGTTACGTAATAATGACGAGGTGAGTAAGATCATGAACAACTAACAAATTCGATTGAATTTTAGATTTTCCAGTCCATTGATTGATTGGACCGAAGTACTCGGTCTCAGGTTGACATGTCTGTTGGTTTCTTGTGCAGATGCTTCCACGATGTCTGGGCATGGAATTATAATTTAATCGGTGGATGGTGATTAGCAGTGGAATCCAGGATAAAGCGAATTTCGTCCTATTTGGGACTCGTCATATGGACGTACTTGCATTCCTCAGTGAGTTATGATGATCCCACTACGGCTCAAACCCAGCGACCATAGTTTCAAACGCCAAAGCGTTATCCACTAGACCACTTGGGCCACAAGAACCACTTCCTCTTGTGCAACGGGTCATATTAATTATTTAATTGAATTTTAGATTTTCCCGACGATTGATTGGACCAAAGTACTCGGTCTAGTCGATAACGCTTTGGTGTTGGAAACTATGGGCACTGGGTACGATCCTTAGTGGGAAAATCATCACTCACTGGGGAATGCAGGTACATCCAGTTGCTGACGAGTCCCAAATAGGACGAAATGCGCTTTATCCTGGATTACTCCACTGCTAGTCACCATCCACCAATTAAATTAACAAATTTGAGTTCAACTCAAATCACAGAAACAAGGGACAAGCAAAATTACATTATATAAAAAAGTGGGAGAGGTTAAGACATCCAGTTACCAGGTGGGCAAGGAAAGACTGATATCTACCTACTTCTTTCTGAACGCATAAATCGCGTTTCAGGCGTTTAACAGAGACTACTTTAGCAAATCTGAGGAGAGAATTGAGCTTTTTTGTCTTTTGATAATTTTAAAGAATTTTGCGATTTCCACTTCATGACCTGGTATCAAGGAGATGCCTGTTAATGGCGTTTGTTTCCTTGAGACGTAGACATTTTGGTATATGTTCAGAAAATCGAAGGTGTGCCCTTCTTTCTGTTCTCCCAATGATGAGAGTTTATCGGAGTATGAAACACCACAATAGGCGCTTCTCCCAATCCCCTCAACTCCAGCAATAAAAACCATAGGATTACATCTCAGAGTTCTGCTTTTTTTTGCAAAACACTGAACCACCTTTGTTTGAAATGCGGGAGACTCAGGAATAACATCAATGTATAAAGAAACGATCTTCTCTTGTTCTTTGTATGGACCCAAAGGACAGTATACCGATGATACAGTTTACTAGGATCTATTTAGTCACAAGCAGTTGCTTTTATCCTTCGAAGTATAATCCTTCACGTCACCTATTATACCAATATTCAAGAAGGGAGACAAGTCCTCATGTGATAATCATAGAGGGATCAGCCTGACGAACATAGTCTCTAAAATCCTAGGCTCAGTAATCATGCACAGACTAAGCAGAACTCGGGAGGAACAAACGAGGGAAAATCAAGCAGGCTTTAGACCAGGTAGAGGGTGCATAGATCATATCTTCACTCTCCGACAGATCCTAGAACATAGACACACTTTTAGGCGTCCAACAATTGCCATATTTCTTGACCTGAAGGCGGCCTTCGACTCCGTGGATCGAGAGGTACTATGGCAATGTTTGACTGTGAAGGGAGTGCCAAGAAAGTACATTGCACTAATCAAGGCACTCTACTCAAACTCACGTAGCCGTGTAACGACTTATGGGGAATTGTCATCTGAATTGATAACAACCAGTGGTGTCCGTCAGGGATGTCCACTCTCCCCATTTCTGTTTCACTTCATCATAGATATGCTAGTGGAAGTATCCTTAACTGAACTTAACGACTTAGGAATCGACTTGTTACCAGGGAATAGTCTTATGGACTTAGAATATGCAGATGACATAGTCCTGTTAGGGGAGGATGGTGACAAAATGCCGAGTCTTCTGAACACCTTGAGCAACAATCTTCGTATGTTTGGCATGCGATTCGCCCCTGTGAAATGTAAGATGCTGCTACAGGACTGGACTACGACTACCCCCTAGCTTAGCGAAAGGAAGTGAAGTGATAGAACACGTTGACCACTTCACCTATTTGGGAAGTCGTATCAGCACCAACGGACTGATTGGCAACGAAATCTCAGCACGGATCCACAAAGCTCGGGATGCTTTCGCTAACTTACACCATCTCTGGCGTAGGCGTGACATCCGACTATCAACCAAGGGACGTGTGTACTGCTCATCAGTTCGCTCCGTCCTTCTCTATGGCTCTGAAATATGGTCAGTACGAGTTGAAGACATGAAAAGGTTGACTGCTTTTGATCATAGATGTCTACGATCTCTTTCTCACGTTAGATGGTATAATAAGGTAAGTAATGTTGACGTTAGGCGTAGAGTGTTGCGCAAAGAGGGAAAATCAATCGATGAGGCTATAAAGTTACATAGATTGAGATGGCTAAGTCACATGCTGCGCATGCCTAACCATCGCCTCCCCCGACGGACACTACTAGCTGATATAGGTGCAGGTTGGAAAAGAGTAAGTGGTGGCCAAACAAAAACATGGCATCAATCCATGAAGTCCTTGACAGTTAAACTGAGTCAGGTAGGGAGATGCAGACTTCCGAGTTGGGGCCCTCGGGACTCTAAGAATCAATGGCTGGAGACAATAGGTGACATGGCTCAAAATCGTTGTCAATGGCTTACGCAGATGTATTCAGTCTCTGCATTCTTTCATATTCCTTTCTATCATTACTCATTCTGTTTCACTTTTATACTTGTCAAAACTCTATTGATTCTCTTCACTCATTTTCGATCTACCTTTGTGTGCTATTTGGAACGTAGCAACTCGAACTGCTGCACTTCGGTGCCAAGTTCTATGTTGAATCCAGACAGACAGACCTTCATGAAAATAAAAATCACCTGACAACACCATTAAATACGTTACCATAGTAACAAGTGTACATACAGCAGTATTTCATCATCATCATCTCACATACCGAGAAAGTAGATTACCAATCCAATTGACAAGTTCTGTATTCACTAATTTTTTTGCCATTTCTCGACTATACGATCCATCGAATGAAAGTAACGGTTGACGTAGCAGAACATATCGTAGGACATCAGATTCAGCAGGTGTTAGATTCTTTACTTCTTCGGATAATAAATCGTATTGTTCAGTCATTGGATCAATATGATTACCTTTACTCTTAGACATCTATATCAGAAACAGAAAACACCGAGATGAAAATTTGAAAAAGATATAAGTATAAAACTTGGTCACTGTGGTAGAGTATTACTCCATTATGGATAAGATTTTATTTTAATAAATAACTGTGTTGTTATACAGTAATATTTACTGATGACCACGTTTCGAGCACAAACTATTGCCAATCATAATCTTATCAAGTCACTCACTCACACAACTTTCTTACTTCATTTATATACATGAATGAAAATTGATGATTATACATTTGAGTAAAAATCAATAAGGGATAATGCACATTCAGAAATAATAATATGATTGTTATTGATCAAATACAATCAGATGGGATATAAGACGAGTGTTTTTACAGTCAAAATAGGTAACTTGTTAGAATGTTATGATGTACGTGAATTGAAATAGAATACAATTTAAGATTATTTATTATCCTCCTCTGATTTGACTGACTGACTGACTGGTGGTAATAATATCTTCCATGCACATCTCTAGTATTTGCATTGAGTCATTTCTGTTGCATGTGTTGGGTGAACCAGAATTCAATAATCAATCTCCCTCTCCAAGTACATAGGTTACTTCTTAGAATCTTAACCCTCTCCCATCCTATTGTGTGGTTGTGTGTTAGTGCATACAGTGCAATTGCTGAGCTTTCTTCTAAATTACTCATCTGTCTTCTCGTGGTCAACCATTCTTACCTTAGCCACTAAATTCTTATGTTCCGACAATATGATTACCCCCGATCTACTAGTTTGACCTATATAGTCGACCTCACAGTCTACACCCAACACATGCAACAGAAATGACTCAATGCAGATACTAGAGATATGCATGGAAGATATTATTACCGCCAGTCAGTCAGTCAGTCAAATCAGAGGAGGATAATAAATAATCTTAAATTGTATTCTATTTCAATTCATGTACATCATAACATTCTAACAAGTTACCTATTTTGACTGTAAAAACACTCGTCTTATTTCCCATCTGATTGTATTTGATCAATAACAATCATATTATTATTTCTGAATGTGCATTATCCCTTATTGATTTTTACTCAAATGTATAATCATCAATTCCACACATGTATATATATGAAGCAAGAAAGTTGTGTGAGTGAGTGACTTGATATGATTATGATTGGCAATAGTTTGTGCTCGAAACGTGGTCATCAGTAAATATTACTGTATAACAACACTGTGTGACATATATAAATAAAATCTTATCTATAATGGAATTGGAAAAAGAAACAATTCGAGTGAAAAATCAGGTGTTAATCGATATGTCATGAAATATTCTCAGTGGAACACATAGGGAGGCTTCAAGGTTGAGCTTCGAAGTTTCGGTAGAAATGGTTTTATTTTTACAAGGTGCGAGGGGGGAGGGGTTGCTAGCCTAACGCCCAACTTCCCCCCCACCCCTTTGTCAGACTTACAACCGGCTTCAGAGAATAGCTGAAGCACTAGCGACCCGAAAGCTCAAGCCCACACCTTGCATTCAAATGAAATACGTACAATCGTTGTTCCTACCTACCGTGGTCATCATGAAAAGTCAGTCCCATTAATAATCATTATCCTATTACCACCTATGTCAGTAAATATAAGATTGGTGAAATGTTTAAGTGACAAATGGGGCACAAAAACTAACTAGTACCAAGGAAAATCTAAGACAGGAAGTGAGGCATATAAGAGAAGCTTTGAAACTTAAGAATTACCCTGATAAATTAGTCAGAAAGTATGTAGGGAAATGTAAAAATAAATTAAATAATGATGGTAGTGATAATGATAATAATATTGATAATAATAATGTTAATGATGACATGCATGTCAAACATGTGCAAGACAACACCAGCAATAAGAAATCTAAGCCATCAGTAGTAATTCCATACAAGGAAGGAACCTCGGAAACCTTACGCAGAACTCTTAACAAGGCAGGAATAAAAGTGGCATTCAATCACCCAAAAACCCAATTGGAAACAAGCTTTGTCGGTTAAACGATCAATCAATCCTGTGGAGCCAGTTAAACAAAACAATTTAGTTTATCTAACACCCTGCTGAAATGATCGTGTGTCAGGTTAAGTGCATAGGTCAAAGTAGTAGAACAGGTGCAGTCAGTCAGACTAGCCGAGCATAAAAACCCATCAAAATCTAGATTAGTTGACTCGAATAAGATAAGAAATCTAGAGAATAGTTCACCTATAGCACTATATGCATTTACACACAACCAACCATACAATAGGACGATGGGATAGGATGACAGTTCTAAAATCTAATGTCACAGGGTGGACGAAGAGATTGATAACAACAGCTTTGTTTATCGAATCAAATGAAGAGAGTACGTGTAATAGGAATGATTCAACACCTGCTCACCAACCTGGACATGTAAAAAGTTCTACTACCCCAACGACGACAAATAGGAGAGAACAAAGAAAACTATAAAACTTAAGTTTCGAAGTTGTGTGATTATAATTGAGGGAATGATTATGAACAATAAATTTTGTTCGAAACCTTGTCATCCAGTAAATAATACTGTTTCACTTTGTGATACATTTAATAAACAAATTAATATGGAACTTCTTGCTGTTTATTTCTGTCACTTTTACGTTCTTAATTCCTATCTGCATTACTAGATTTAGTTGCCGTTTTTTATTTTCATGTATGTCCAAACTTCCTGTCTATTTGGTTATTACGACGTCCTCAATCCGCAATTGTACAAACAGCCAAGTTATCCAATAATTATGATCATCTTCTTATTATGTCTTTTCTACCCGATCTTCCTGATTATCACACTTTGTATTTTTACGAGTTTAACCTTTCACCGGAAATAATTCTGAAACTTTCTCCCACACATTTACTACTATGAACACACGAATGTACAGCCTCTTAGTGGACGGTGACTTCGTCGAAAAGAAAATTTTCTCCGCTGCCATCAACCGTCTTTTTAATCATTCGCATGATCCAATAGCTTTGTAACAACAGACGACAAGGGCCAGGCAACAAACAGATCGTTTATTGAGAAAATCAAAAGAGATATTTATAGATTTTTATGTACATTAATATCAGAGGAGAAGCAAAGTCTTCTGAGTAGTTGTTTTCCTGTTGAAGGTTATTCTGTACTGCTTGTGACCGTTTCTCAGAAAGTTAAGTCATGTATCTGCGAATCATATTCGCACACGTTAAGTGCGCTGTGATTGGTTGTTGAGTTCTCCAAGGTTAAGCTTTGTTTTTGTTTTTTTCTCATGACCCCGATTTGGGACGTAACAGTGGCGTAAATTGCGGTCTTGCCTTGCAGACAGCTCTCACCACAGCTTTATTCCGAACAGTATTTTCGGTATCTATCCAACAGCGACAAGCACCAATCACCATCAACAGGAGTAATCTAAACGAAGTCACTTCCTTCACTTATCTGGCCAGGCAGCACAGTTTCAAGTGCAAGGAGCATGAATGAAGATGGCAAAGACAGGAGTGGTAAAGCAACACGGACCTTCAATACTCTGAAATCAGTTTGGAAATCTTCTGAGCTCAGAATAATAACGAACATGATCCCGATCGTGTTGAACACTAATGTCAAGTCAGTGTACCCCCCCAACCGCCCTCTATGGTTCAGAGACTTGGCACACAACTCATCCAAAAGCATGTCGAACAAGCTACTGAAGATTCTGACTTAACAGCTGTCTTACTTCACATAATGAAGATCAATATGGCTGATCGGGAAATGATAAACGACACAGAACTCTGGCTGGCTAGGAATCAACCAAAAAGCTATCATCCAGGAAATAGAGATGGCTTGAATATAATCTGGGAAGAGACTGTCGAGGGAGATGTTCTCGAGCGAGCACGAAAAATCAAGTTCCTAGAACAACGGCCAATATAACTCGCTCCACAAGCATAGTTGAATTGGTAGATACAATTTGAAGTGGCCGGTTAGTCCAGGTGCTTCATCTCCCAATTGGGGAATCACCATAGGTCGTGTAGAAAATAAGACTTGTAGTTTGCAAGCATGAAAAGTTCTGTGAACTGATTTTCAACCTGAGTGAACAAGTGTATAACCAGTCGATAAATATCGGCATCCGAACAGAAATCTTAAAAGAATTTTGTTATTAAGGTGTACCATGAATGTAAATTTCAAATGTGATTACACACTTTACAGACAAGTGGGCGGGGTGGCGATAGGCTCCCCATTGGGTCCCATTTTGGCAGATTTCTTCCTAAGCAAAACTATGAAATAGACCTTTGAACAACCTCACCAGAAAATTCTCATTTTATTGCCGGTATATGGATGACACCTTCATTCTTTGTGATAATGATTCGGATAGGAACACAATAACAATTCAATATAATGAAGTACATTCGGCTATGAAATTCACGTGCGAAGAGCAATCCCAAAACAGAATTAACTGTCTTCCTGGATGTCCTCCTTACAAGAAAACCAGATGGCAGCATAAAAAGAAATTTGCATAGGAAAAGTCATGGACAGGACAATATACACATTTTCATGGCTTCGTTCCTCTCCAGTACAAAAAAATTCACTAAAGACCCTCAGCCACAGGGTTAGAGCTATATGCTCAGAAGAAGTAATTGAAGATGAATTAAGCATTGTATATGATAACTTGATTGAAAATAGCTATCCCGACAAATTTATCAAGAAACACATGACAAAGAAAGAAGCCTTTATATAAATACGACTGCAATTCAAGGGTGATATACCTAGCGAAATAATTGCGAAGAAGTTAGGAAAATCAGTTCAAAGGACTTTTGATGCTGACGAACTACAAGTCTTATTTTCTACACGACCTTTAGTGATTCCTCGATTGAAAGATGAAGTACTTAGACTAGCTAGCCACTTCTAAATGTATCTACCGACTCAACTGAGCTTCTGGTGGAGCGAGTTTTATTGGCCGTTGCTCTAGGAACTTGATTTTTCGTGATCGCCCGGGAACGTCGCCCAGTGTGGCTGAGGAAAGATGCAGTAGAAACCATCAACAGTTCGATGTCAGACCACATGTTCCAGATCGGTCACAAATCCAGTATTGAAGAATCCTTCTCCAACATCATCTACCGGGTGCCTAATAAATTTCCGAAAACATCGAGGTACCGCATGCTCCAAACAGTAGAGGCTATCGCGATTCACGTGAAACAACCAGTGCTTTGTATGCAAAAGAAGCAATTCCAGCCAGCCACTACTACTGCCATGGCAGCCTTCAGTGGAGACTATAAATTCATCAATTTGTACTTTTATCTTTCCTAATTTGTCTGTCTGATATTCAGTGTATTGTTATGATGTTGATGCTATCGAACTGTGACCCATTCATATTATTATTGATTGATTCGATGTTATTTAAACAACATTAATGTTGTTGTTAATAACACTAATTCATTCATTCACTATTATGGATGGATATATAACTGTAGAACCTGATGATAAAGAGCAGGTTATCGAAAAGAATATTCTTTGTACAGAAATAATCAGTCCTTGGAAAAATTCCACTTTAAATTAATGATCAATATATACAATCGAAACATTAGTCGTTATTCGAATAAAAATGTAACAAAATTCTTTACTATTATTATTAATATTTACAAAGTTACCTTAATATTCTCAACAAGTAAATGATGATGGCATATAAGGCGTTTTGGTAAGGGAAGATCGGTAGCCATTAGCAAAGCAGGCCAAAGTACGGCATGAAATCTAATTTAGAAGAAGCAGAACAAGAAGAAGAGTAAGGCGAAATTTATTAAGGGGGGGGCGGGGGAAACAACAGATAAAAAAAGACTCTCAGTCGACAGAAAAATCATTTCTTCTTTTTTAGATGTTCTTCTTACCAAAAAGCCAGACGAAATAAATATCTACAAAGAAGAGACACATGGAACACGGACAATATACAATCATTTGCATTTGTGACACCCGTACAACATAAATGGAACTTGATTGGTTCTTTTAGTTATAGAATTAGGCCCATATGTACTGAAGATTGTACTGAGGACGAAATCGAAAATCTTAAAATTACTCTGCTACAAAATGGTTGTCCTAACAATTTGGTAAAGAAGTATATTTCCAGAAGAATCAATAGAATTAAGCAAGATACAATGAGTAAGAAAAAGCCTTATTTAAGAGTGCACTTCAAAAGTGATATATCCAGTGGCATATTAAGCCATAAGTTGATCACATCAGCTTCAGAATTACACGACAGTTTCTCAAGCAGACCAACACTGAAACAGTGCAGCAAAGATAAATTATCAGTGATGGTCACATCAGTGTGTGTATACATGTTCAACTACTCATGTGGAGTTAGTTATATATAGGCCGAACTCAGAGAAATTTATCTTTACACGCTACTGAACATGTTCCTGTTTGGCTTGGAAAAGTGTAACTAAATCAAATAATAGTGCCATTTCGTCTTATCTAGTAGATAGTGAACACCACATTTATGGTTGTATATCGAGTAAGTACCAAACAATCTGTCTAAAGGTACACGATTACTTCTCTTACCTATGGCAAAAGCTATACAGATTGATGACAAAACAAAACCGGACCTATGTGCACAAAAGAAACACATTCATTCTCTTTGTTGGTTCTCGTTTTGTTGAGATTACAAATAACTACACATAAAAGTGACGTAATATAAATAACTGGTGGGGTTGAGAAAAAATCCAACTAAAATTTGGACGGCAGAAAGAGAGTCATTTGATCTTCAATATGTAGCCAGTGAAGGTAGCTATTGATAGAAGTCTGCACTGGCCTGTTGGAAATGCTTCTCGTGAAGCACAAGGCAGGTTTCTGACCCGTATAGAAGGACTAACTAACTGACTTCACATTTTTGTTGAACAGAATCCGAATCTTGTTGTTTATCCCGAGGCTTGAGTGAGAGCAGAAGATTTCCAAACTGTTTACAGACTTGTGAAGGCGTATCTTGCCTTTTCAATTCTGACTGGCTTTGACATCTTCATCCGTTCAGCCTGTAGTTGAAACAATACTTCATAGATAAGTGAAGGAAGCCAGAAGGTCTTGAGTTCGAACCCCAGTGGGTGTTTGCTGCCAAAGAGTATCAAACTATAGGGACAAACAGCCGTCCAGTACTCCCGGGTTTTTAAGTGCCTCGGTGGTTGAGCGGTAGAAAGCTCATCGACTATGCATGTTACCCGAGGTTCGATTCCCGGTCGGCTCACATCTTTACCTCACCTAGCCGGTTGTAAGCCCGACAAGGAAGGAAGGTTGGGCACCACTGTTACTGAAACTCCAAATCTCAAGTGAGAAGTCCTACTTTCCACCTGGAACGCAAAGGAATAAAAAAATCGACCAATACATCAATCAACCAGACAATTCCATTTCGACAACACAGCAATAATAATGAAAATATGAATACAAGACAAGAAGAAGATTTGACCAGCATTTTTTTCAAATACTAACCTTAATATATCTTTGCCTAAAAATTGCACATCTGGTGGCCATAAAATACGCTTGGAATTACCATCATCATCTGACCATGGGAAACCTGTTACTGTCAGATAATTGATTAGTGCATCTAACCAGACATAAATCTATAGATGAAGGAGAATAAGAAGACGAAGAAAAGGAATGAAAATAACGCATAGTTAACATATTCAATTCCTCATTTATACAGATGTTTACCACGATATGTTAAACACAGTCCATTCAACGATTTAGAAAAGTGTCAAACTGTCCTCATTTTTATTCATATTGTTAAACATATTTACAGCAATTAGTTCCCTTTATGAATTTCGACAACACAATAAGAAGACGTAGTTTATCTGAAACGTGTAATGTGTATTTGTGCAACACATTTCGGACATTCTGATCACACACGTACTTGTCATACACAGTTTTTATAGAAGGCAAGAAGGCATGAATAATTACAATACAGGTCAGGGTCATGAATAATGGGTAGGGAGATGACGCAAAAGGTGTGGGTAAGAAGGAGAAAAAGAGAAAATACAAGGCAAAGAAGGGGTTGAAAATATTATGAGGTAAATTGGACCTTGGTTGTAAATTGGATTACCAAGGTAGGTTTAAGGTGATAACAAATAACTTTTGGACACATAGGACAGGTTTAAGTCTTTTTATGACTAAGGCTTCAATGAATTTAAGTATGTGGCCCAACCTTGTTTTATATATCGGCTTAAGGCATTGTTGAAATCAACCTTATGACCTGTCTCTATAATGTGCTTCGCTATAGATGATGTTGGACATCTATTTCCAGTTTCAGCTGTGTCTGGCGATTTCATTTGTTGTTGCAGCCACTTGGGAATGTGTTCTGTAGCCCTAACCTGCAGAGACCGATGGGTCCTTCCTATGTACATATCTCCACACATACATGTAAATTGATAACCACAGTGGGATGTGACACTATATAAAGCAAGGTTGGGCCACATACTTAAATTCATTGAAGCCTTAGTCATAAAAAGACTTAAACCTGTCTTATGTGTCCAAAAGTTATTTGTTATCACCTTAAACCTACCTTGGTAATCCAATTTAGAACCATGGACCAATTTACTTCATAATATTTTCAACCCCTTCTTTGCCTTGTTTTTTTCTCTTTTTCTCTTTCTTACCCACACCTTTGCATCTCCCTACCCATTACTTCTGACCTTGACCTGTACATAATCTGACCCGTATTGTAATTATTCATGCCTTCTATAAAACCTGTGTATGACAAGTGCGTGCATGATCAGAATGTCCGAAATGTGCTGCACAAATACACATTACACGTTTCAGATAAACTACGTCTTCTTATTGTGTTGTCGAAACATATTTACATAACTGACTGGCTGCCCGACTGGTTTCAATGTAGAACTTTGTACACATGTGCAGCAGTTCCAGTTGCCACACTCCCCCTCCATGTAGCACACAAAGCAAGAGAAGAGAGTAAACAGAGATTCAAAAGAGAGAGAGATAATAAACAGAAATGTGAGGCAAAAAGAATAGTAGTAATATGGAAGAACAATAGAGTTTTATTGGATATAACAAATCACAAAGAGTGAATGCATTCCTGCACCAATCATTAAGAACGATTTTGAGTCATATAACCAACAGTCTCCAAAGACCGTCATTGGTTTCTGTCATCCTGAGGACCCCAACCAGTCAGTCAGGAAGTTCAATACCTCCCTCCTGACGTGACTAGCCGGTTTCAACTAACTGTTGTAGATTTACTTCAATGACTGATGAAGCCATGTTTTGGTTTGACCACCACTATCCAATTGTTTTCCAGCCTGATCCATACTATGACAGTCAGCTAACATTGCCCGTTGTCGAGGAAGTCGATCGATGACTAGGGATGCACGCGCAACACATGTCCTAACCATCTCCTTTAATCGATTTACCTGCTTGACAACCTCGTCGATTGATTTCCCCCTCAACTCACCTAGCACTCGACCCAAGGCCTAACCTCAATGTTACTCTCCTTAGTATACCACCATCTAATAACACGCACGGGAGATAGAACGCAGACACCTATGGTCAGAGAGAGTCAGCTAGCCAGCCGGATACCACGTCAACGTAAGAGATGGGGTAAGTTAGCAAATACCATATGAGTCTTTTGTATCCATACTCAGATTTCGTCAATCATCAACCCGCTGATGGAGCGGATGCAATTTCCCGAGTAAGTGAAGTGTTTAACAGGCTCCACCACTTCCCTTCTGCCTATCTTTAAGCTAGGAGTCAATGTACTCCAGTCCAGTCCTGTAGCATAACATCATCTTACATTTGACAGCAGAAGCGAATCGATGCAACATTCCAAGATTCCTACTCCTCAAGGTGTTCAGAAAACTCTGCTGTATTTTGTCAGAGTTTTCATCTAGAAGGACTATATCATCCGCATTATTCTAAGTCAACGAGATTATCACCTGGTGATAAAAAGTCACTCCCTGAGTCGCTGAAGTCAGTTAAGGTTAATTCCATTAGCACATGCATCTATGATGAAATTAAACAGAAATGGGGACAGTGGGCGTCCCTGAAAGAAACCGTAGGCTCTCACCTGGCTGACTGCATCAGTTCGAGCAGAGCGCCTTGATCAGTGCAATGTATTTCCTCGGCATTCCCTTTACAGCCAAGCATCACCAGAGTATCTCTCGGTCAACAGAATCGAATGTCACCTTTAAGTCAAGAAATATAACGATTGTTGGACGCTGGTAAGAATGCCTATGTTCCAGAATCTGTCGAAGGGTGAAGATATGATCAATACACCCTCTTCCTGGTCTGAAGCCTGCCTGGTTCTCTTGTGTTTAAGCCTCCCGAGCACCACTTAGTCTACGCATTATTATTGAACCTAAAACTTTAGATACCATATTCGTCAAGCTAATCCTCCTGTGAATAATACAGGAAGACTTGTCTCCCTTCTTGTATATGGGGATAATCAGTGACTTACATTAACCCGACAGGACTTCCTCTGATTCATGAAGAGAGTTTATTTTATACTAAAACCTGCGCTGAAGCAATGTTGTCTAGAAAGGGAATGACGTAAGCTTCTCAAATTAAATCAACCAGCTCAGTTCTGAGAACACAACTAATTCAATATCATCCACCTGTGCTACAAATCTTCTCCATTATTCCAATGTGTGTTATCCCAAGTAAACGTATCTAATATGTGGAAGTCGGTCTTTCTTGCTTGCAATGGACGTAATCTATCTTAATACCCGACAGGTAAATTCTATTTCTTTCTTTCTGTCTCTTCATTAGTATTATTTTGTCTTTTCAATTGTAATATTTTACATTTTCAACTTTCCTGTTCTCTACCGCCCCTTACCCGATTTAATTTCTACACCTCATTACCACTGTTGCTGACTTGACCAACGCTCAATTTCTAGTCACTTGTGTTACGTCATCCAATTTATTTTGCTCAATTTTAGTCCTAATTTAAATGGCATTATTCTCTACCCCACCTCTACTTAGTCTCTACCTCTACCTGTAATTACCTCTGTTGTTATCCTAATCTAAGTCGAAACATTTTAGCCAATTATATTACGTCATCTAACTTACTAACTCAATCTTACTTTAGTTGTTGTCTAATTAACCATGTTTCTATATTACATCATTCTTGTATTACCTAATTAATTTTGTAAACTTGACAAACCTCATGTATACATACACACAAATAATTATGTATAAATGGGATTGTACAGCTATGTGAATGAATTCACCGTCGAAAAGAGTCTCTTCGCTGAACGTCTTCTCTTCTTCATATGGCTCAATGGGAATTTTTAAGGTACTTAACAAAATTGATCAAGGGGGTCCACGTGTACATAAAGACAGAATCAGCAAGAATGATCTCGAAACAACAAGTATTAGATCCTATTTGGACATTGAAACATGCAACCGACAGTCTTGCATAAACCAAAAGGGGGCAGCGCCCTTCTAAACCTCTTAGTTTTAGTCACAAACACACACAAAAATACCTCTCGCTCTTGTGAACACAACGCAGTCAACAAAACAAGACTTACTACTTGCTGGTCATCTCCAGGAACTGGTATACCCCAATTCAAACGACTTTTTGGCCTTGATACAGATACATCTTGAATTGTATCTACCATACCATGCGCTATTTCAGTCCAAATAGATTGAGTGGAGGATTTAGGAAATACTGTTTTTAAAAAGAAAAAGAAAACATTTAAAAATTAGACGTATATGAGAAAATTTAATTCAATTTTTTAGATTTTCCCGTCCATTGATTGATTGGACCGAAGTGCTCGGTCTAAGGTTGACATGTCGGCTCCTCCCCCTTGTGCAGATGCTTCGACGATGCCTGGACATGTAATTAGGCGATAATTGGTAGATGATAACTAGCAGTGGAATCCAGGATAAAGCGCATTTCGTCCCATTTGGGACTCTATTTACCTATTTTCGTGTGTGCATGTGTATGTGGACACACATACATACGGAGAAGTTATCGTGCTTTGCATGTGAGGGTGGGAAAGCATATCCCGAAATGGTTAGAAAGGCAAATGAATTATGAAAAAACAATAGACGCAGGTGTCAGACTACCAACTTCGTCTATAGCTAAACACCTAGTCGAGATGAACCATAAGATTAATGTTAACTCAGCCTTTAAGGTCATCTATAAAGATGGTCAAGGGCGCTGATTGAAATACGCTGAGGCTATAGCTATTCATAAACTTAAGCCCCCCCCCCCCTTTGTATATTCGAAAAGAGTTAATTACTACTCTTAACCTACTACCTTGGTAATCCTTATTTGATTGGTTTACCAAACGTTGTGTTAACTCCTTTTCTTTGTCACTTTGTTTAAATTAATTGCCGTTAGTGTTTTTCATATAAATATCGACTTGACAAGTAAATGTGTGGGAGGATCAGATTGTTCGAAATGTATAGCGCAACTACATCACATCACATTTTTCCTCAGATAATCTCCGTCTTCTAATAACACTATCCAAATTTATAAAAAGGACTAAATGTTTTAAATAATAATAATAACAGTCACCCATTTTGTGACATATTATTGTTAAGTAAGATTTTCATATCATCCTCACTAACACATTTTGGGCATCTAACTTGAAAATTTTCAAGATTCATGACTAATTCGTTAGAATTTCGAAAGACTAGTCTACAAGCTAGCAAGCGACTAGCACACTAGATTGTTTTTATAATTGAAAAGTTTGTGACAAAACACACTAATCAACAATGAATAGCACTAAAGAATTACTGAAAACTAACCAGCCCCCTAGCACATATTTTATCCTGGTCTGTTTATTTCAAAATCTGTATATTCCTATTACTTTTTGTGTATTAGTGGTTGGTTGGACTACCAATGGGCTCGCCTCTCAACCTGAAGTTGTTAAGAAAAATCTCTTCAGTAGTGTCATGGATGTGTACTACACTGAAGGGTCTCAGACTAGTACGAAACACCCAACCCTTTATTCCCTGGTTGTAGTACCAATGTGGTTCAGCGATGGAATGAATGCCTGATAACCACAGAGATTTTTAAAAAGACGGTTGCAGTGAAGAAGAAAATTTTTTTCGACGAAGTCACCGTCAACTAGGAGGCTGTACATTCGTGTATTTATAGAAGTAAATGTAAGTGAGAAAGTTCCAGAATAATTTCTGGTCAAGGATAAGACTAATAAAATTACAATTAGAAATTAAAATGCTATACTAAACGGGGGACGGATAAAACTCAAACAAAGTAGCAACATAATTACTGAGAAGATTGACATATTGTACAACTAGGGGTTAGAAATGTAGAAATAATAAAATGACGAAAAATAGTCAGGAAGTTTGGATATGAAAATATGGTATTGTAAATAGGGATTAAGAAAAACTTAAAAATAATATGAATAAACAGGAAGTTTGGATAAGAAAGGCAATGGGATAGTTACTATTAAAAGAATTACCTGTTTATGATGGCCACGGCAGGGACAAGGGTTGAACGTATTTCTTTTGGATACATAGCATGGGTAATTCTTTTAGTAGTAACTATCCCACTGCCTTTCTTATCCAAAGTTCCTGTTTATTCATGTTATTTTTAAGTTTTTCTAATCCCCATTTACACTACCATATTTTCATATCCGAACTTCCTGTCTATTTTTGAGTTTTATCCGCCCCCCGCCTCTAATTATTACGGCATTTTAATTCCTAATTGTAATTTTATTAATTTGACCCTTGACCAGAAATTATTCTGGAACTTTCCTACCCATATATCATAAATATACGAATGTACAGCCTAGTTGACGGTGACTTCGTCGAAAAGAAAATTTTCTTCCCCGCAACTGTCTTCTTAATAATTCCGCTAATAATTAATTTTCACCCTTCCTTCCTTCCTTTGAAACTTAGAAATCGTGTTAATAACATCTATGAGTTAATTGTTTTGATAACTTCAAACCTCTTAATTCCAACTACTCCTGTTATACCTAAAACAGATTAACAAAAATAGCCACTTGACTTGTAGAGAAATTTCGATGTACAAAACTATATATATTAGTGTAGAGTCAGGTGTAGATGAGGAACTAATTGAAAAAAGGAATGCATACTTTTTCGCTCAGTCTGTTGTTTTTTCTACTAAATGTGTATATGGGGATTTGGAAATTCAAATAAAAATGTGTCCCTGGGAATTATTAGAAACGAGAGAAACGTGGATTTTGAACTCACACACACACGCAAAAAAGGGAACTAAATTATTGGATAGGATTACCAATATTCCCGGTAGTAACAAATATATTTATGTATGGTTGGGAATGTAATGCTGTTGTAACTATGCTAGAGAAGATTTACACTTCAGGTGGATGATTTTGATTCAGTGGTTGTATTCTCTGAGCTGGATGATTTAGTTGCTTAGATTTCGTCATTCCCTTGCCCATCTAGACAACATCGCTTCCCAACGGGTTTTAGTATGGAATGAACGCATTTGAATTCTCCATGAACGGTGATATAATTGTGTATATTGTCAACCAATGTCGTGCGTGACTGTTTGTTGATTTATGTTTCCATTGGAATTTGAACTTTCTTGTCAAGTGATTTATATATATATATATATTGTTCCCTTGGGTTCCTAGTGGAACATATGGCTTCAACTGCACGTCTCCACTTGCTTCTGTCTTCTGCTGTACTTTTCACTTGCATCCATGTTAGTTCATACTGTTTCAGCTCTTCTTCACACGATCTCCTCCATGTCACCCTTGGACGTCCCACTCGCCGCTTCCCTTTCGGGTTCCACTCGAGCGTTGGCCTGACGCGTGATGTCACCCAGCGGCCTCCTCAGCGAGTGTCCAATCCATCTCCACTTTCTCCTGCATATTTGTTGGGCGATTGGTTCTTGTTTTGTTTCTTCCCATAGTTTCTTGTTGGTGATTCTTTCCGGCCATCTGATGTTCAGTATAGAGCGAAGACAGTTGCTGTTGATAAAGGTCTGCAACAGGCTGTTGGAAATATTCTTTGTGACCCGCCAAGTTTCTGGTCCATCCGTATAGAAGAACTGACTGACTTGACGTTTGTATTGAAAATCCGAATTTTGTTGTTGTGATGCTGAGTGACGAAGATTTTCAGATTGGTTTCAGGTTGATGAATGTGTTTCTCGCCTTCACGATTCTCGATTTGACATCCTCGTCCGTTCCTCCTGTAGTTGAGACAATGTTCCCTAGATAAGTGAATGAAGTAACCTCTTTCAAATCCCTCCAGTTGATGGTGATTGGCACTGGATGTTGCTGCTGTTGTTGTTGTTGGTTGATTATTTTCATAACCTCCGTCTTGTCTGTTTGTTGATTTATGTTTCTATTGGAATTTGAACTTTCTTGTCAAGTGAATTACTTTTCATTAATTGGTAAATTTGGTCTCTAGTAATTAGTGTGTTTGTTAATCGCTGAGTGATTCATTTGAGTACTAGGCTGATATATATGTATATATATATATATATATATATATATTTACAGCTAATTTGTATTCTTGCATTCGGAATCAAATGGGACGCTTATTTTGATTGATGCAATGTTTACTGCAGTTCATGGTTTTAAATTTTTTTTCTTATCTCCCTGTAGTTGTCTAGAAGGATAACGAAAGCTTCAAAATTAAATCAACCAGCTCAGAGAACACAAATAATTTCAGGTAGTCCACAGCTGATGAGAACCTGTGAAATAGTATGATGATATCATTTTATACTGAAAATTTCGTCTTCTTTTCTTTATCTGAATTTATCAAGAGAATCAAATATATGAAGTTTTGAAAAGATGCCTCCCTGCCCAAACTATTAAGTCACTGAATCAGGTGGTGCCCATACCATGCAGAATATCTAGAGAATCAACAAAGATCAAGTTCTGTGAAGAGTATTCGCGAATAGGTTGTTTCCCACGGCAGTTCCTGAAATAACTGCGGTTGGCTAAACCCCCACTTTCTCAAAAGAATCTCCGTCAAATAGCAAAATTTCACACCAAATCCTCATACCAGTACCTCTCCGAATTGAAGTCTCCTTACTGAGTGAGCTAAATACTATTTGCTGGCTTAAATTCATTAGTTTTATGAACCACAGAGATGCCTAAACATCGCATTGTTTACTAACCCGGAAAAAAAGGAGGTTTAGGCGTAAGGCCAACAATCCCACCCAGTAAAAGTAACACAATTCCCTCTGAAATTTCAGATCTTGAAGTGTTATATTCCCTTAAGAAGGCAAAAAATGAAGAAAAAGAAAATTGACAACTTACCTCCTGAATCTAACCATGCATGTAAGTCATTTTTAAACGATGATATCCTGAATACATAATTGTCTTCTTCAACCCATTCTACTGGATTACCAGTTTCTTTTGCTACAGGTCCACCTTTTGAAAGAGATGCTGATGAGGAAGTTTCAATTTCCCATGGCATATAGAATGCTTCATCCGAGGTACAATACCAACCAGAATATTTGCTTCGATATAGGTAACCACTGTCGGTTAAACGTTTCTAAAATGAAATAAATTTTTCTTTTCTATGTTTCAAATCACCAAAAATATCCATTGGCTTAGGAGGAAAATAAAAGACACTTCAGTGAAGAAAATTTTCTTTATCGACGAAATCATCTTCACAGGCGGTACTGTACAGTCGTATTGATATTTAGAACAACACATTTAAGCGAACAATATTGGCTGCATTCCATAAAGTAGTGTTATTCAGTAATATTTACTGAGGACCACGTTTCAAGTACAATTCATTGCCACTCATAATTATATCAAGGCAGTACTCACACAACTTTCTAACTTCGTTTATATAATTCCATCATTATTTTTCATCGCTTGATCTGATTGGTAGTAATATTTTCCATATTTCTGGTATGAGTGATGAGTCATTCCTATTGTATGTGTTGGGTGTAGATACGATGAACAAAGATTCAGTAATCAACTCCTCTCTCCATCTACTAATATTACCTCCTAGAATTTTAACCCTCCCCCACCCTATTGTGTGGTTGTGTGTTAATGCATGCAATGCAATGTAGTGCTGAGTTTTCTAAATTACTCATCTGTCTTCGCGGGGTCAACCATTGTAACTTTAGCCATTAAATTCTTATGCTCCGACAATCTGACTACCCTCAATCTACTAGTCTGATCTATATAGTTGACCTAACTCACAGTCATTGCAGGGTATTTTGAAAATCATATTATTTTGTCCAATTGGGTCAACCTAAAGGGTCCTTTAACCTACCTATAGAGCTTATCCATCCTGAGTGAGTTTGTAGATTTAAATGCCATCCTAATTCCTGTTTTATTAAGAATCCTACGTAGGGCCTCAGATGTCCCATCCTTATATGGTATAACAATTGATGACTGATATTCTCTCTTATCTATGTTACCATTAATAGCTTCACAATTATTTTTATTTTGCTTTTGACCTTTCCTGATGAAATTTATTGGATAGTTAGTTATTTAATACCAACGCTTCTTCTATCTGTTTTATTTCATCAGTTAGGTCTTTTTTGTACTACTTAGTGCTATTGCTCGGTTTGTTAGACTGACACTCAACTAAGCCTGCCTTAACAGTTAACGGATAAGAGGAATTAAAGTCTAAATATCTATTAGCAGAATGCGTTGGATTCTTATACACGCTAGTGTGCAGTTTACCTTCTTCTGTTCGTTTTATTTTACGATCTAACTTCATAGCTAATTCTCCTTGTTAATTTTCCGATTCAAATGTGAATCTTTGTTCATTGATTCTACACCCAACACACGCAATAGACACGACTCATCACTCATACCAAAAATATGGAAAATACTACTACCAATCAAGTTAAGTGATGAAAAATGATGGAAATATTTAAACGAAGTTGCAAATTTGTGTGAGTACCTTGATATGATTATGAACTGCAGTAATAAATTGTGCTCGAAACGTGGTTATCAGTAAATATTACTCACTGTATAACACTGAGACTTTATCAAAATAAATTTTACCCACAATGGAATTATACTGTACCACAATGGACAAGTCCTATTCTTATATTAATATTGTTTTTCATTATAATAAAGGTTTTTGTATTTCCCAATGAATGAAAAACAAAACGATATTGTTTTTACTGACGTTTCGCTATTTAATGCTAATAGCTTTATCAAAGTATTATTAAACCGGAATTTACAAAATCTCAGCATATATATAACAAACAGTTAGGGGGTGAGAAAATAGACATAGGTCAAGTTAAAGGGACATATTGAAAGTAAAAATAGCGATGAAGATAACTATACCAAATAACAAAGGTAATAGTATGTCTGTTATGATATCGAAAAAAAGAAAAAAAAATTTACTAACTTGATCATCGTTCGTCTGTCTGGGGCATTTTTAGTTGTTAAGTTGGTGAATTGGTAAAGATAACAAAATCATCATGTGTAGATTGTTGGATTTGATAAGTGTATGAGATTATAAAAGCAGCGTGTGTTTACATAATGAAAGTGCTTATCACATTCGTGTTGGTTTTGTCACTTGATGGGGGGGAGGGAGGTGTTGTAACCAGGTCAGATTCTGTTTTAGTCCATCATTCCTATTCAGGCAATTTTGATTCCACTTAATATGAAGTGCTTCTGATATTAAACGTTCTTTGTGATTTCTGAAGTTTTTCTGGATTATTTCAACATTGTCAAAATCAATTTTGTGGCCTGATTCTATGGCATGTAGACCTATGGCTGATGATTTTTCAAGTCTTTGTAGTTCAACAGGATTCTTCGGCGGTCGAAGAGATGCTCTACGGTGTTCATTTCTTCTGATTTTGATTTCTCGAGAAGTTTGTCCGATGTATATCGCATCACATTCTAAGCATTTTATCTTATAGACACAATTAGATAGCGAATCTTTAGGGATTTGGTCTTTTATATGGACAAGGTTGCTTTGAAGTGTGTCTGATGTTTTGAAGAAAACTCTAATATCGAGCTGATTGAGTACTCTTCTGATATCGTCTGACGTCTCTTCTCTATATGGAATGACGACTGTTGATGTCCATGTTTTCGGGATGCGTTTTCGGCCATACTTGATGTCTGTGTTGATTTTGTTGATGAAGTTCCATGGGTAGTTGTTTTGCTTGAGAGTTTCAGTAATGTTTGATATTTCTTCTTCTTTTTCTTTCTCGTCGGTTATCAGAGAGTGTGCTCGTCTAAGAAGACTTGAAACAACTGAAATCTTTGCGCTGATGGGGTGTAATGACTTGAAGTCTAAATATTTATTTGAGTGGGTTTTCTTCCTGAATATGGATATACTAAAATGTCCGTTTTCCTTTCTCTTAACTAGGCAGTCTAGAAATGGTAGTTCACCGATGTCTGATTCTGCTTCCGAAGTGAATTGGATTCTGGGACATACACAGTTTATTTTCTCCAGGAATGAATTGTGTAGATCTCGTTTTAAAAGCTATTAGCATTAAATAGCGAAACGTCAGTAAAAACAATATCGTTTTGTTTTTCATTCATTGGGAAATACAAAAACCTTTATTATAATGAATATCATATACCCAATGCCCAAATTTTTTCAAACCGTTAAAAGTCAACTTGGTTTGGACATATATAATATTGTTTTTAATTAGATCTCATCAGGATTATATAGCTTTACAAATAAAGAAGCAGGATAGTAGACTACATTTCCTGGATATCTTGCAAATTAGGCGAGAAGATGGGTCACTTGGGAGAAGCGTGTATAGAAAAAGCACATCCATAGGGCAATACACACACTTCCTTAGTTATGTGCCCATTAAATATTTTAAAAAATGTTGTTAAATGTCTTACGAGCAGAGCAAGAAATATATGTACGGATGACCACTTACAAAAGGAATTTGAATATATTCACGATTCCTTGACGGAGATGAACTATCCGAGTAATTTCATAAAGAAACACATGAAAACATTGGAGACAAAACCTGAGACTATGACTGCACGTAAGAAACCTCTATTTATTAAGTTACAATTTAATGGTGACTTATCAAGTGAGATTTTATTCCAGAGACTTTCCAGGAGTATACAAAGAACGCTTTACACAACGAACCTATGTTTGTCATTCTCTAGGCGACGAATGATTGGGGCGTAAACGAAGGATAAGCTAGACAGTTTTGCCACATCTATGCGCATTTATCAGTACAACTGAACCTGCGGTGACAGTTATGTTGGGCGCACTACTAGACAGCTTAGCCAACGTGTCACTGAACATCTGCCATCATGGTGGTTTGGCAAAGGACAGACCAAAACAATCCGTAGCTCCATTTTGTCACATTTAATTGATAGTGGTCATGTAATCGAGAAAACGAGAGCCTTCAAAGTGATTCATCGTATCCCACCAAATCTTTGCAATAGACTTCGTATTCGTCTACCGCACACAGCTGAAATGATAAGCATTGGAACTATTTAACCTAAACTATGCATTCAAAAGAAGTTCGTACACAGCCATAATCCCTCCCTTGTTGGCCTATTAAGACCTAACCAACTGATGACTTCTACACCAACTCTTACTTATATTTTCAACTCTCCCTTATCACATCTTCATTACAAACGTGTTTCATTTACTTCCCTTATAATCTAGCATTACGTAATCGGTTCATTTGTTTCTCTTAACCTGTATCGACTACCACGTCTACCTGAACATTTGTTTGTTTAATCATGCTGATTTTCGTTATTCGTGTTATCACAGATTGCCTCACTTTTTCATCCTTATTATTGATAGAACCATTATTATTATTATTACTATGGCTAATTGCATAATCTTATTATCCTATGACAAAACACCGTAACTGGTATATATTTGAATATTTATTCGTAAAGTTATATGGGTATATTAGAGTTAAGCCTGATGATGAGATCTAATCGAAACCACAATATTGTTCGCTTAAATGTGTTGTTCTAAATTTTAATATGGGAATATTTCGTATTTCTCTTTACCAAACAGGTATAGCAGTCTATTACTGAGCATTAGGGTGGGGGCTGACATAATTGATATAATCAGTCAGAAGTGGCTTCAAAAGTAAAAATGAGAGTTGTAAATTGCGGAATAAGCAACGGCACAAACGAAGAAAGAGTTGGAAATTTGATAAGGTTAAAATTGTTATTGAATGAGAAGAAAGGTAGTTGAGTATCAATTGCACAAGTATGAAAAGGGTAAGAAATTGTACAAAAGGAGCATGTGAGAATGATACTAATGAATTAATTATTAAAAAATTTACAGGGAACGACTATTGAAGCGGTTAAGACCAGGGTAGAATAAGAAACTGGACAAACTTTTTCTATACACAGAGTTTGGGGTTGTATTGACGAATTGTCAACGCCTCCGCCTTACACAGATGCCAAAGCTTTTGTACCATTCGGTCTCACCTTGTAGATAATTTTCAAAGACGACTCTGGTGGAGCTGCGTGGCTTGAGTTCGCCAAGTGCTCGAGAACTGAGCTAATAACTGTCCTGCATTATACTTTTGCTAACCATGCCGGATTATGTTCAGAGATGCGTTTGGAAAGTGTGCGCTTAGTGAGGCCAATATAACTAGCTCTATAGGAGCAGATGAATTTGTAAACACACACTGAAGTGGCTCAAAGTGGCGGCAGTTTATCCTTCACACATCCATTGATCATCTGTCGGCTGTAGACATTGATCCGTAGCTCATCCAAAAAGAAGGCTTTTCTCAGTGATCTGAATAGGCAGCGGTTCTTGAGAATCTCAGCTACAGGATCACCTTTAAATTCAACGTTCATGGGTAGCAGTTTCTTCGGCACCGTCTGAGTTCTTTCCGGTTTTTGCCTTACTTTCAGTGTTTTTCTCAATGAATCTTGAAGGATGATATCCATTTCCCGTGAGGACTCGTCTGAGTCTCTCCAGTTACAAATACGACTGTACTGTACAGCCTCTGAAGATGATTTTGTCGATAAAGAAAATTTTTGATATAAGTATAAGACTTGGGCACTGTGGTAGAGTATAACTCCATTATGGATAAGACTTTATTTTCATAATTTACACAGTGTTGTTATACAGTAATATTAACTGATGACCACGTTTCCAACACAAATTATTACCGTTCATAATCATATCAAGTCACTCACTCAAACAACTTTCTTGCTTCATTTATATTCATGAGTGAAATTGATGATTAGACATTTGAATAAAAATCAACCAATATGGGATAGTGTACATTCAGAAATAATAATAATATGAGCGTTATTGATCAATTACAGTCATCTGGGAAATAAGACGAGTGTTTTTATAGTAAAATAAATAGGTAACTTGTTAGAATGTTATAATGTGAATTGAATTAAATTTTAAGATTATTTATTATCCTCTTCTGATTTGACTGGCGGTAATAATATCTTCCATATTTCTGGTTTGAGTGATGAGTCATTCCTATTGTACGTGTTGGGTGTAGACTCGATGAACCAGGATTCAGTAATCAATCTCTCCATCTACCTAGATTACTTCTTAGAATCTTAACCGTCTCCCACCCTGTTGTGAGATTTTGTGTTAATGCATGTAGTACAATTGCTGAGCTTTTTTCTAAATTACTCATCTCGGGGTCAACCATTCTTACCTTAGTTAAATTCTTATGTTCCGACAATCTGATTACCCCCAATCTACTAGTTTGACCTATATAGTTGACCTCACAGTCTACACCCAACACAACACATGCAACAGAAGTGACTCAATGCAAATACCAGAGATATGCATGGAAGATATTATTACCACTAGTCAGTCAAATCAGAGGAGGATAATAAATAATCTTAAATTGTATTCTATTTCAATTCATGTACATCATAACATTCTAACAAGTTATGTATGTTAACTATAAGAAACACTCGTCTTATTTCCCATCTGATTGTATTTGACTGATAACACTCATATTATTATTTCTTAATGTACATTATCCTATACTGATTTTATTCAAATGTCTAATTATCAATTCCACACATGTATATGAATGAAGCAAAAAAGTGAGTGTGAGTGAGTGTCTTGATATGGTTATGAGTAGCAATAATTTGTGCTCGAAACGTGGTCATCAGTAAATATTGCTGTATAACACTACACTGTGTGATTTATCAAAATAAAATCTTATCCATAAAAAAAAATTGTCTTCGCTGAATTGGCTTCTTATCCTTTTTTCTATAGTTATTTATTTACATCTAATTAAGAAATGCTACATATTACAATGTATATAATAAGCAGAGAAATAACTCACCCAAAATGCCTGAACTGCATTCATATGTCTACTTTCAGTAGTACGTATAAAATCATTATAATTGACATGTGTAGCATGACACAGATCCTGAAAAAAAGAGAAATTATAAAAGCAACTTGAAAATCCCCCCCATTGAGTCATGTAAAAGTTCAGCGAAGAGTTACTCTTCTCTTCGGCGATATCATTCTTAAGCTGTACGATCGCATATATACATATAGTACGATTAGCAGATATATCAACGGACTGTCTAAGAAACCGCCGCAAACAGATGACAGAATAACCTTGAGCAAGAAAACAACCAATCAGAAGAAGCTGTTTCTCTGCTAACAATAACACTAATAATAATCTACTTAAAAATCTATAAATATCTGTTGATTTCCTCAATAAACAATCTGTTGCTTAGCTCTTGTCTTCTGTCGTTACAATATGATTACACATACATGTTTATGGAACAAAATATAACTGGAAAAATTGCCTACCTTAAATAAAGGACTCATTTGATTGCAATATTGTAATGGGTCTAGATTACAAGCGCTTGCAGCACGATTCACCTGAAAATTAAGAATACACATATATACATTATATAAACATTCTGTTGATCTGTAATAGTTATCGTCATATAGTTAAACGGTACCTGCTGTACATGCTTTATTTATATTCCAGTCTCTGTTGAACATTGTTTATTGTAATCCCTTTATTCTTTATCACGTATTTGTTTTGTAGGGATTTTGTTTGATTGCATGGAGGATTTCATCATGAGCTGACACATCAGTTAGAGAACCACTGGAAAACCAACAGGGATTACTGGACAGCTGTTTCGTCAGCCTAGTTTGGGACTCTTCATCAGTGCGCACCCACCAGGGTTCGAACCCGGGACCCTCTGGTTACATGGGCCAATGGATCAGGTCCCAGTGGCTCAATGGTCTACGAGCTCGCCTTGTAACCAGGAGGTCCTGGGTTCGAACCCCGGCGGGTGTGTACCTTTATTCTTTATCTGAAAATTCGTGTGCCGTTTAATCTGACTGCTTTGGATCGCCTTTAACAAAACTTTACTGTTTTTTCCCATACTGACGCATGTTGACGGTACATTTGACGGTATTCAGCCTTAGAAACTTTACTATTTGAGGTTTGTGTATTATATTTCATTATTTTATTTATAATTTGGTACCGCAGATGATATATGTCTAGTGTCACACAAATTCGATGACTTGCAGGCGAAAACCACTAAACTGGCTGAAGACGCAGTGCAGTGATGACAGGACTCCAGTTGAACAAAGAGAAGACCGAGGTGACGAAGATAACCAACCAACCAACAGCAACAGCAACAACTAACATCATCAATCACCATCAACGGGAGGGAGAGATTCAGCGGAGGTTACCTCCTTCACTTATCTCGGAGGCATCGTCTCAACTACAGACACACGGAACGGATGAAGATTTCAAAGCTGAGCAGAATCGGAGGGGCAAGATACACCTTCATCAACCTGAAACCAATTTGGAAATCTTCCGCTTCACTCAGCCAGCCTAAGGAACAAGATTCGGATTTTCAACAACATTGTCAAGTCAGTTAGTCTTTCTAAACGAGTCAGAAACTTACACTGAGTTTGTTGGAGTTCAATGGCAGTTCCATGCGTGCTGGCTTAGTATGCTAAAACTTTTTCTGTACATTAAACCTAACAATGTCTTTGGGCTGTAAGCAGCTGATGAGAAGTCAATGAAATAAACAATGATAATACCATTTTATTCTTCACAAACCAATGTTGTCGCTGTTCTTGTTTTATTAAAATTCATCAAGAGGACTAAAATCTGTATGGAGTTACTTGTCACTTATGAACACATTGATAATAAATATATTTTCCTGATTGGAATAACACAGAAATCAAAGAAAAAAGAAGTAACCGTCAATTTTCCCTACAAACCATTTTATAAAAAATGGCTTACTTTTGATCCATGTTCATCAGTTCCACACGACAAAAATGTTTTATTCACCTCCGAATGATTTAAATGAGAGGCTGATTGAAGAGAATCCAATTGGTGGAAAGGTTTGCATATTGACTGTTGTCGGAGAACACTATATCTTGCCCAAGAATCAGCTAAACACATCGTGTAGGCATGACCTAAGTGAGGTTCTTTGAGTTGAAAAGGAAAGAAAAGAGGAAGTAAAGTGAAAAGAAAATGAGATAAAGCAAGCAACAAAGGTTACATAAAATGGGATTGAATAAATTTAACATCAAAAATTTCAGTAGAACTCGAGAAATAACTAAAGTCAGTAAGTTTGTTTTATGACTTTCTTGACTGGTTTCAACGTAGAACTTTGCACGAATGTGCAGCAGTTCCAGTTGCCACTATCCCTCCATGTAGCACACAAAGCAACAGAAGATAGATAATAAACAGAAATGTGAGGCAAAAAGAATAGTAATATGGCAGAACAGTAGAGTTCTACTGGATATGATAAATCACAGAGAGTGAATGCATCTGCACCAGTCATCACCGTAAACGATTTTGAGCCCTATCACCCACTGTCTCCAGATGCTGTCATTGGTTCTTACTATCCCGAGTAACTCAACCAGCCAGTAAGGAAGTCTACATCTCCCTCCCCCACGTGACTGACTAGTTTAATCCAAATGTTATGGATTTCATTGACTAATGAAGCCATATTCTGGTTTGCCCACCTCGTGCTAGCCCTTCTCCAACCTGATCGATCCTATGTCAGCTAACACCACCCGTCGACAAAAGCATTGACTAGGCATGCACGACAAATGTCCTAACCATCTCACTCAATTCATGTAATTTCACAACCTCGTCGATTGATTTCGCCTCCCACTCACCTACCACTCGACCGACGCCAAACCCCAATATTGCTCACCCTAATATACCATTTAACACGGGAGACAGAAAGCAAACACCTGTGATCAAAGAAAACCAGCTAGATAGGCCTTTCAGGTCTTCCACAATCAATGGACGTATCTCACTCATAGCCAGAAAGGAGAACAGAGCGAACTGCTGAACACTACACTCGTCATATGGTCGACAGCAATGCAACCGGATATCATTTCTAATAAGCGTAAAGTGGCGTATGTCAAACTAGCCTTCTGTATCCGTGCTGAGATTTCCTTGGTGATCAACCCACTGATGGGACTGATGCAACTTCCCCACAAATAAGTGAAGTGGTCAACACGCTCCACCAACCACTTCACTTCTGCCCATCTTTAAGTCGGAAGTGGGTCAATGTAGTCCATATCAATCCAGTCCTGTAACCTCATCATCTTACATTTGACAGCAGGAGCAAATCGCAGGCCAAACATTCAAAGGTTGCTCACTGCTCAAGGTGTTCAAAAGACTCTGCTCCATTTTGTCAGCGTCTTCGCCTAGACAGACTATATCATCTGCATATTCTAAGTCAAACCAGTGCCTTAGACCACTCGGCCACTCCGCCCAAGACTTTCCTTCCAAGTACCAAACATAATTCAATTATTGACCTTTGAGGGTTATGTCTCAGTGGTTGAACAGTCAAAGTGTTTGATCCCCATTAGGGTTATGGGTACATCCTACTACCGGAGGATTCCAAAACTAGAATGAAATACATGTCCAGTACTCCCTGGTTTCCAATGATTAGCTAAGTGATGTCAGTTGGTAGCGAAACCCCTCTTCAAGACTTCTGAATACTAAATACCTCGCTAATCTAGACTCATTTCTCCACGCATGTGTTTCTTCACTTTCCAATTATAGTTCATTTTGATAACGTCAGTCCTAGTGGCTCAATGGTTTACGAGCTAGCTCGCCTTGAAACCGGAAGGTCTCAGGTTCGAGTGCTGGAGGTGGGTGAGTACTGCCAAAGGGTCCCAAACTAGACTGACAAAACAACTGCTTGTCCAGCACTCCAGTTGTGGTTCTCCAATGATTCTCTAACCGATGTGTTAGCTCATGATGAAATCCTGAAACCAACCAGATCTTGTAGTTAAACTGCCAACACAAGTAAGAAATACGCTTTGCCAGACGACAAAAATGTATATGGTATTCAGTAAAAAGCAGCTAATAACAAAGACTCTCATGATAGCGTTGTCATATTTACAAGCAGAACCATCTTGTTGAGGGGAAGTGTGAGGATAAACATAAACGCTAAAGGCTGTTAACAATTCGACAAAAAATAAATATTCCAGTTTGGGTTGCTTTCAACAATTCTACTTATGAAATGAACTAATGAACTAATTGGCCTATTGGACAAACAGGACATAGAGGACATAAACATTAGTCTAGCTAGCTTAATTTGCTGTCTCTCCGTCTGGATTCAACATAGAACTTGGCACCGAAGTGCAGCAGTTCCAGTTGCCACGTTCCAAATAGCACACAAAGGTAGACAAGAAAATGAGTGAAAAGAATCAATAGAGTTTTGACAAGTATAAGAGTGAAACAGAATGAGTAATGGTAGAGAGGAATATAAAAGATTACAGAGACTGAATACATCTGCGTAAGCCATTGACAACGATTTTGAGCCATGTCACCTATTGTCTCTAGCCATTGATTCTTAGAGTCCCGAGGGCAGGCCCCAACCCGGAAGTCTGCATCTCCCTACCTGACTCAGTTTAACTGTCAAGGATTTCATGGATTGATGGCATGTTTTTGTTTGGCCACCACTTACTCTTTTCCAACCTGCACCTATATCAGCTAGTAATGCCCGTCGGGGAAGGCGATGGTTAGGCATGCGCAGCACGTGACGTAGCCATCTCAATCTATGTAACTTTATAGCCTCGTCGATTGATTTCCCCTCCTTACCTAACACTCGACGCCTAACGTCAACATTACTTACCTTATTATACCACCTAACGTGAGAAAGAGATCGTAGACATCTGTGGTCAAAAACAGTCAACCTTTTCATGTCTTCAACTCGTACTGACCATGTTCCAGAGCCATAGAGAAGGACGGAGCGAACTGCTGAGCAGTGCACACGTTCCTTGGTTGATAGTCGGATGTCACGCCTACGCCAGAGACGGTGTAAGTTAGCGAAAGCAGCCCTAGCTTTCTGGATCCGTGCTGAGATTTCGTCACCAGTCAATCCGTTGGTGCTGATACAACTTCCCAAATAGGTGAAGCGGTCAACATGTTCTATTACTTCACTCCCTATCACTAAGCTAGGAGTTGACGTAGTCCAGTCCTGTAGCAGCATCTTACATTTTACAGGGGCGAATCGCATGCCAAATACACGAAGACTGCTGCTCAAGGTGTTCAGGAGACTCTGCATTTTGTCAGCATCCTCCCCTAACAGGACTATGTCATCTGCATATTCTAAGTCTATAAGACTACTCCCTGGTAACAAGTCGATTCCTAAGTTGTTAAGTTCAGTTAAGGATACTTCCATTAGCATATCTATAATGAAGTTAAACAGAAATGGGGAAAGTGGATATCCTTGACGGACACCACTGGTTGTTATCAATTCAGATGACAATTCCCCCATAAGCCTTTACACGGCTACGTGAGTCTGAGTAGAGTGCCTTGATTAGTGCAATGTACTTTCTTGGCACTCCCTTCACAGTCCAACACTGCCATAGTACCTTTCCATTCACGGAGTCGAAGGCCGCCTTCAAGTCAAGAAATATGGCAATTGTTGGACGCCGAAAAGTGTGTCTATATTCTAGGATCTGTCGGAGAGTGAAGATATGATCTATGCACCTTCTACCTGGTCTAAAGCCTGCTTGATTTTCCCTCATTTGTTCCTCCCGAGTTCTGCTTAGTCTGTGCATGATTACTGAGCCTAGGATTTTAGAAACTATGTTCGTTAGGCTGATCCCCCTATGATTATCACATGGCTTAATTATTTTTATTTTATTTTTATTTTGATTACAGCTTGATGCCACACCGTATTTTTAGGTACAGGTATGGAATTTTCAGCATGGATATCGGTAGCCCAAATTTTGCAGGTCGACCATAGATATCGGGTGTGCGCCGGCAGGGGGTCAAACCCCGGACCATGTGCATAGTCGGCGAGAGTCCTAACCACTGTGCCACCGACGCACAGGTATGAAGCTAAACAACTGATGCAGTAGTCTGACGATTATTTCCCTTGATCTATTGAACAGGAATACATGAAGAAAAGGAAAGCTGCATCCAGCATCAGGACACTTACTACAACTACGACCTTCATTATTGACTAACTGACGGAGCTTTAATGTAGAACTTTGTTGCATAAAAGTGCAGCATTTCTAGCTGCCACATTCCACAAAGAAACAAAAAAGAAATATAATCAGCAGCATGATTATGAACAACAAATTTTGTTCGAAACCTTGTCATCCAGTAAATACTAATACTGTTTCACTGACTGTGTGATATATCTAATAAACAAACTAATATGGAGTTTAGCAAAAATATTCATTCAGACATCTATAAAACACAAAATAATCGAGCAAAGAATATCCTTTTCGATAAATTCCTCTACCGGCTATATAATCACATATATATGTTTATATACATGGAATATTCTAGATTAGTAGTCAATAACAATATTAGTGTTTTTTAAATAATATCGATTTGTAAAGTAAGATCACAATGGAATTACAGTTCATTAAAGATGCTTAAATAATAATAATAATAAAGATATAATAGCAAATAGAATATCAACTAAAATTAGGAAAATTCCACAAAAATTCATGATCATTCAAACCTAGATAGCCACGGTAAGGATAATGTCTGAACTAGCTTCTTTTGAATGCACAAATTAGGCTTGTTAATATGGATCCCCACAGCCTCAGCAATGTTTAGTAGTCGAACTCTTAAGGCAAAATTGAGGTTCGTAGGTATACGGTAAATGACCCTGAAAGCATGGTTAACGTCAATCTTGTGTTCTGTATCCACAAGATGAGACAGAATAGCGCCACGAATAGATTTTGTTTGTCCTTTGCTTAACCACGCAGGGAGATGTTCGGAAATTCGACGAGAAACACGCCTAATTGTACGGCTCACTCCACAGGAGCAGTTAAATTGGTATATACACATGGAAGAGGCGAAATTAGGCAGTTTGTCTTTTACTCCCGAATGCAAAGGACGAGTGGTTTTAAAGATACATCATAATTCGGCAGCAGGGAATGCTCTTTTTACCGCATTTCTAAGGC